AAAAGCATACGATTATATCAATCTTCCAGAAGACGAAATACAAAAACTTACACCTTTTGTAGAAAAATTAATCAAATCTGGCGAAAATCATTAGAGCTATATTCAATCATGTGTTCAGAGTACTTACAATAAAAACAAGCTATTTTTTAACATTTCTGAAAACTATAGGTTCTGTCCAAGAAAAGGCTCACAATCATAAACATAGTACAATAGCAGCTTCGGAGGGCACAAAAAACGGATAATTACGATTCATTGTAAAGATCATTAATGTTATAATGTCCCCTTGACTTGAACTTTTTTCAATAAATTTTCCCATAAAGTATCATCAAAACAATGCACAAAGTATGCATCCAGATTGCTATCTTCTCTTTACCACCTCTTTATTAACTAATATAACTATGCCATCCTTTAGATAGCCCTCGAATCTTTCAGAACCTGCTGGATGAAGAAACACTTACGCGAAACTTTGAATACCTGTCGGATGTCTAAACAGCCACAAGCAGCTCTACATAGCTTTAGCTCAACAGAGTAGCTACAGGAGAACATTCAGTAGCTGTAAAATGATTAAGTAACTATAGGAAAACATTTAGTAGCTGTAGGTTCATTGCGTAGCTATAGAAGAGCACGAAGCAGCTGTAGGTCGATTAAGTAGCTATGGGAATACATTAAATAGCTGCAGTTTCATTTAGTAGCTATAGAGGAACATAAAGGAGCTATAAGAGAACATTCAGTAGCTGTGATATGATTTAGTAGCTGTAGGAAAACATGTAATAGCTGTAAAATGATTAAGTAGCCATAACTTCAACTAGCTGTACCTGACACAGTACAAGAGAGTATTATTAAAAAGTATCTCTTTTGAGAGTGAGCCACATAGAATAGTTCACCTACACTTTGTATTTGAATAAGATTTGAAAAATTAGAATGAAGGTTACACGTATTGTTAGCAGTAACAGATGTTGATGATACATTAGAGAGGTAATAACATGAAGCACCTACACGTTTCCATCCTTTTGGACAATGAAATCGACTAACTAAAAAATAAAGTTACTTCGATTAATACAAAAGCAATGGTGAAGGTACTTTCATTCCTTAGAAAAATAAACTGTAAGAAACTTTTCTGTATAAAATTCAATAATAAAAATGTTGTCTAATTTTTAAGGTATTTGATCAATCTTCAACTAACGAGATAATCTTGACAGATGATAAAATAGTTTTGAATTGAGTCTTATCTCATTAGATAGAACCTATTGAGACTAGAAGACGCCTTGAATGATTCGTGTCTATGGATCTTTCTTTTTGAGTTATAGTCATTTTACTAACGAGGGAGCATTCTCAACTGTCACATCGCTTTTAAGCTGAACGTATGCACATTATGTAGACCCTCACGATCTATGAATTCTCTGAAAAAAGTTCGTGCTGCTACCTTATTATTGACGAGATACAGCGTTTTTACTGTATGTTTAACAAAAAAAAAAGCCGTGGTTCCCCTCAAGAACATCGGAAAACTGAAGTTCGAATTTCGTCTTGAAACTTTGCATAGATATAGGCCTCAATGAGAATACTTTATTGTGAAAGTTTCAGCTCTTTTCGCTGTTCCTATCCTAAGATATAGCTATCGTAAAATTGTTCATATACACCAGCAGATCCGATGTTCTTATCTCAGACTAGGAGCAACCAAAAAATCTGAAACCTTCGCAATAGACTATTCTCATTGAGGCCTGTCTACATGCAAAGTTTCAGGTGGAAACTCAAGAGTCACTTTTCCTGATGTTCCTCAGGGGGACCACGGCTTTTTCCTTAAACATACAGTAAAAATGCTGTATCTCAGCAGTAAGAAGCTAGCAGCACGAACTTTTTTCAGGACATTCATAAGTCATTAGGGCCTACATAATGTCCATACGCTCCACTCAAAAGCAATGTGACAGTTGGGAATGTTCCCTCGTAAGTATTTTCAACCAAAATCCATGATCGCCTTCCAATCATCTTCAAAATCAACTTTCGAGTTTCTAGTTCAAACTTTAGAAAAATCAAGATCTCGCAGAAGCTATTGAGTTTATTGTGAATGTATCAAATTCTCTAGCATTGTCTATGCAGAAATATAAACATAAGAACAAAATTTGCTTTTTCAAATAACAGAATTTCCTATAATCGTATCTTTGGATAGATGATGCTAGAAAATTTCAAACACTCATATTGGACGAGTATCTGCAAGACTCTGATTTGTGCAAAGGTTGAGCTAGCAACTCAAAAGTTAATTTTGAAGGTGGCTTGAAAATAATTAGTAAAATCACCATAACTCAAGAAGAAAGATCCATGGAAGCAAATCATTTTAGTCTTTTTCTAATGTCAGTAGGTCCTATCTAATGAGACAAGGCCTAACTCAAAAATAATTTATCGCTTGAGGATTTCTCCGATAACGCTTGATTCAAAAAGCGCAGAACTGAAGGATTCACAGCTTGAAACAGAAAAAAATATGCATCGAATTTCATATAGAATGAAAGAGGGTGTGGGTGAGTGTGGGTGTGGTAGCATATAAAATAAACACTCACACCCACTCCCCACACCCACACCCACAAAGCCAAATTGATGAATAAATAGAGTAATGATACATGTCCATCGTACAGTCTACGATACTATTAAGAACGACATAAATACAAGTCTTTTTTTTATTATTATACAATTTAAATCATTTAAAATGCGATTATGAAATTGTGATCATTATTATTAATTCCTATATATATTGTTTTGTTTGACTATCCACTCATTCCTTTGATGTCTTTTACGAATATATCATCATTGTATCGCATGCTGACACGAAGAAGACAACGAAAATATGTCAATAATCATCGTTATTTTATTTTTCTGCTAACAAGAAAATTCTGATCTTATAGACGATTTGTAAATATTAATTTTTGCATTATCTTATTGAGTTTATTTCTTTATTAATATGAAAAATATTAAAACGAATTTTGTGAATATTCTCAGATTATCATACACCAGAACTGGAGCGAATGTTATCTTTCTTACTTTTATACCGAATAAAGGAAGCAAGAATATCACCGAAAAACAATTCAATCTGGAAAAATCTTGTCAGAAATTTTCATTGAAAGGAAAATATCAGATAACCTCAGTAGCGGGTCAACATGATGGTAAGATGTAGCAATTGCCACGCCAAAAAGTTTTTTATTCGTCCTGTGTGTTTCTGCGAGGTTACACTTTTCGATCCAATTGATAATCATGAGCCGACAAAAGGAGAAAAAAGAGACAAAACTGACTGTTGCTGGTTGAAAACGGAATCTTTAGACAAGTGTTAATCACTCATTTTCTAACGCTCATATGTTCATCGAGTGCTCATTTACTTTTTCTGTTTTCATTATCTTTGAGGACATCGTAAAAGTAGATCTGATCTGTAAATAGAAAGATTTGCTCGGAGTTAATTTCTTCAAATATCTTGTATTATTTTGCTGTGTGCTCTTACAAAGGAACTATTTCAACTGTTTCCCAACTTTTGGTTTCATCTTTTGATTATAGATCGGTCTCAATAAGACTAAGAAACCTTAGAAGCGTTCACGCTTATGACTCTTCATTTCTAACCTATAGTCTAAATAATGTTGTAAAAAACGAACTCTTTTATTTTGGGAATCTAGTATGTTGAAAAAAATTATTAGGCAATAGGTTCCTCATTATGAAGTTTTCGTATTTTATAATACAATATAGTTGTGAATTTGAAAATTGGATAGTCCAAAGACCAATCAAACTAGTTCTATGACATACTTTAAGTTCTAAGTGATTAGAGTTATAAATGAACAATAATTTCACAAAATGAAAAAAACCTTTTTTACGACATAATGTTAATCATATCTTGGGAACCAAGTGTCATTAGCGCGAATTCTTTCAGCTTTTTCTTAGTCTCACTGAGACCTGTCTACAGCCAAAAGATGAAGCCGAAAGCTTGGAAACATTTGGGTTAGTACTAGGGATGGTACTTTCTAGTGACGGCGCCACAGGTGGGCGGGGGAGGGTTGGCTAAGACCACCCTAAAACTGTTTGAGCCCATTCAGATATTGTTTAGACTCACTAAGAAATTTCTCTGAACTTGTGAAAAAAATTAATCTTTTTCTATGCAAGCCATTTCAGATTAGTTCATTTACTGAGCTACCGTGAATGTTCTTTCTAGGTTTTGATTTTCCCCCACCCCAATAGAAGGCCCCTGGTCTTCTGCTACGTCCAAGCGTAAAAATTTTCTAGGAGGTCTTGTATTATGTCCTATATTTTTTTCACAATTTTGAATTGAAAAGGTTTTTTGAAAAACCGAGGCGACTTTGAGGATTTTCATCGGGATTCTCGGCATTTTAAGAGCCCAGATATAATTTTGAACTCATTCTTTTAGCTGCTCTGGCTCTAAACCCTGAAAAATAGGCATATTCCAATGAAAATACCCTAATCAAAGCACATAATCACCAAAAAATTAATCAATTAAATAGGTGTTCTGTTATGTACGGCAAACTTTTTCTCCAGAGGATCTTATATTATAGGGGTCTTCTAATATGGAAGATCTTCCATTGTGGGGAGGGGTTTAGTTGATTATCGAAAACTACACCTAAAGTATGAAATGAAACTATCTAGATCTAGAGAGGTGCAGTCCGAAAAACGGAAGACAATAGAATCTTTTCTTCGATCGTTTAAAAAATCACGTAACGATGGACAATAATTAGAATTGAACGTTATTGATTCATCATCGGAATTTCCATTTTTTTTTCTTCTTCTAAAAATCAATTTGAATCTGATGCTAGTTCTTCCACTCCATCATCATCTCTTACAGTCTGCGCTTCTTCAATCAATAGTTTTCAAACAAAATCTGTTTCCGATGCCATGAGTACATCATGCAACGACTTTCTCGCTCAACCAAAATTGAGAAATTTTCCTATCAATCATCAAAAAACGTTCATTTTAATCAATTTGATATAAAGATAGTCCATGGTTAGAAGATTCTATCAAAAATGATAGTTATCATTGCTACTGTTGTGGTCGTTTTTCTTAATAAATCAAATATTGGTGATGAAGATAAACAAGAATTATCTGCGTAATACGACGTCTGACAAACGTTTAAGTAGTTTGACGATATTAGCTATTGGACGTGATATTACTATAGATAATGGATCAGTAATAGATAAGTTTGCAAAAAATCATAGGAACAGCAGGATTTGATTGTGCTAAATTATCTTTTAAGAATTAAAATATGTCTAGTCAAGCTCTTTGCACATTTATACAAATTATTTATTTAGTAGAGAACAGGAACCCTTTTTGAACAAGCCAAACGTTCGAGTTCGAAAAAATTTGCACTGTCTATTTCAGTTTTACGACACTCATTGTAACTGAGCCCACCCTGATAAAAAATAAGGCGGTCTGAGCCCATCCTTTTCTGAATTTCTGGCGCCGCCGCTAGCACTTTCACTTTCCTTTCAGAAAGGAAAGTCATTCAGTAAGATGGATGTCTACTAGTAGAGAGTTCCTATAACCTTTTAAGGGCTATCTAGGAGCATAACCTATACCTCTCTAATCCCATCAAAGGAAGATTCATATAATTGTTTGAGAGCTATTTAGGGCAAGAGCCTATAATTCTCCAAGCTCTATCTAAGACGGCTACCTCTACTTCTGTAAGCTCTGCATAGGGATAATATCTATATCTCTCTAAGCCGTATTTAGAGATAGTACTCATGTCTTCCTAATCACTTATAGGGGTATTATCTATACCTCTCCAAACGCTAAATAGGGATAGTACTCATATCTCTTCAAGCCCTATACAGGAGTAGTACTTATGTCTCTCTAAGCACTATATAGGGATAGTACCTATACTTCCACAAGCTCTATATAGGAGTACTACCTATACTTCTCTAAGCCTCATATAGGGATACTACCTACATCTTCCCAAGTCCTATAGAAAGAAGAGAAGCGAAAGATATGGAACTAATTTCACCATGTTTTTATTCGAACATTTATTTCGAATTTTTTTTGTAGGCAAAAGAAGATCTTGATCAACAAGCTGTATAACCAGCAGTTGCTGCTGAATATGAAGATGCTTTAACTAATCTTTGAAATAAATTAATGGCTTTAGAAATTACACTTGTTGATCAATTAGAAGTAACATTTAGATATTCAAAGAAATTTCATTATATTCTATAGATATAAAACTATTTCGGAAACAATTCAAACATTCGAACGAAATTTAGGTGAAATAGTCTCAAATTTTACAGAACTTATGCGTGCTAATTTTAGTCAATTACGTTAAATTCAAGCATTTTTCAATGAATATATTACTAATTTCTGTGTAAATGCTGGTGAACGTGTTGCAAAAGGTGAATTAGAAGATGAACTTCCTGATGATACAAGAAAAGTTTGTTCATAAAATTTTATATCAACAAAAAAGAATCTTCTCTGATTTCTTTTTGCGTAGCTTTTAGATGATAAAGATACAATAATGAATGCTTGTCAAACATCAGATGAAGTTCATCGAACAAAAATTGATCAACGTGAAGATGAAATGTTTTCATGTATATCAAATTGGTTAACAACAACGATGGATAATATTCATGAAGAAGAAGAATATAAACGAAATCGTAAACGTATTATTGAAATAAGTCCTCTTATTGATTATTTACGAGCAGACATTGAAGACATGTAATAGCAAGAACGAAGAAAATAAATGATTTTTCTCTTTTCTTTTATTCCGTTTATTTAATAAATATTCTAAAAAAAGAAAAATACTTTTCAATTGACAAAGCCAATTACTGACAATTCTTTGCTAATTTTTGCATTCATTCTTTTCCGTTATGTTTCAAAAAAACGGTAGAGAAAATATATATATTGTTAAAAAAATATATAAAATCATTCAATAAAAGAAACAAATAATAGATGAATTTGAATACGGGATTTTTTGCTGCTTATAATCATCGTCGTCAACAACCAACAGTTGATTATCGTTTACCATTAAATAATCAACATATAACAGTTTTAAAAGCCCAAGAACAACAATTGAAATTTCCCATGGTAGTGAATCATTTTTACCATCAATAACGACAATAAATGAAAGTAATGATGGTCGATGACCATATCGTCGGAATGATTTTGCTAATACGGGTGTGGGTGTGGTAGGATATAAAATAAACACTCACACCCACACTTACACCCTCTTGATACATGTTGAAAGGATAAACGTGAAATATTTAATTCTGATTTAAATTATAAAATAGCCGTTTTATGGCTACATTAAAAATTTATCAGGACTCGCTGTGACCAGGTTCGGGTCACGGCGGTCCCGCCGATGTCTAGTTTCGAGAACTATAGAATGAAGTATATTGAAGAAAACACTTACAGGTGCTACAAGCTGAACATCTTTGGAAAGTATCAGAGAAACGCCAGACATTATATCAAAAGTTGCTACAGCAACGGCAACCTTAATAAAATATTTTCATCATTAATACTTTTATTATCTCTGCTAATCTTTGGAAAGGTTGAATGTAAGCTAGATCGAAACAAAACCGAATAATTTTTATTCTTTAAATGTATTGTTTCATGTTGAAATGAAATGAAATTTAAATAAAGTATCTTTTATTTGTAAATAAATTTTATCAATGAGAAAATTTTTGAAAACAATAGAATAATTTTCAGTTTACTTCGACAAATTTTTCTTCTGCTTCTTCTCTTGAATTAAAAATCTCATTTTCATAGATATTTTTTGTTTAGTATTTGCTTAACCTTACAAATTTTCAATAATTTTAGATATTTCATTAATATAAATACGTTCTAATCGATGATTATTTATTGTAATTGTCAATAAATTATCTTTTGTTTGTTTATGTGCATAGCTTTTTTAGAATAATATTTTGTTCACTTGTAGAGATTCGTTTTTATTAAATAAAAAATCAAATATTAGTTCGGTATGTTTTGGATACATCCATTTTTCATTTAGTAATGGTGATGATGTATTGATGATGCTAAAGAATCTAAATGGTATGCTAATGAACAATAATCACAATTTATGATGATCTTTCTTTTAAAAATGATTTTCGACATATCAAAACAATATTTTTGAAATGTTAAAGGTTTAGAGTTTAGACGAATATCTAATCATGTCTCAACATTGAATAAACAAAATGACATATTTATTCAGTCAAATTACATAGAATTTTGTTGTTTTCTTTTACAAATTTTCTTATTTTCTATGAAAACTTTCTTGAAGTGAATTACCGTTTTCATACATTTTTTTTAATGCATTGCCAAAAATTATTGGTTTTAAAATAATTTTGTCTTTTATAGCATCAGACAAAAACATATTCGTAGTTTTCTACTTTCACTGCTAAAAATCATAGGTTATACAGTGTTGTCATTGTCAATTTATTCAGATCACATCTACTTCTGTTTGATTCTAGTGCGAACATTAGAAATCATCGTATAAACAATAGAATAGTCCTAAATCACTCATCATTTTTCAGCTCCTATGACGAATAATAGAGATGATACTGAGATTGGAATAGATCTAAAAGTAACCAAGTCTATAAACGTTCTTCATACAGTTACGATAATTTTGTTGGAGTTTTATTATCAGACGAAGTTTCAACAATAAAGCTAAACAATAGATTTTTAACTTGCAATTTGTTATACATGTTTAAGTTAAAACAATTGCTTCCTGTTTGAATTATTCAATGTATGGTTCTGAATTTTTGAATTGTTTCTGCAGTCTAATCGATTTTATGAGCGTTAAAATATTTCAAGAAACCTACAGCAGATCTCAACAACATGTCGAGTTTTCTAAAATTTGTTAGTATATTCTTTTAAGTTTTGTTCTGTATATTTTCAGATAAATGTCCATATCTATAAATATTAGAATAAAAATAGTTTGATAAATGACTAAATTTGAGTCGCTTATGATGGTGAAACGAAAAATACGCTAAAGAAAAATTACATGAAAGTTGTATTTCAAATCTTTTGTAAAACTGGTTCAATGAAAAACTATTAAAAAAATTATACAAGACAAACTCAACGAACTTCATGTCATTTTTGAAAATGAATCAATATCAAGTAATTGAGCTGTCACAGCAGCCTGCTTCATTCAACAAAAAATTTTCACCTTATACAGTTTCAATGAAGGGTGTGAATGGGCGTGGATCTGGTTTTGGCCACAACCACAGACATCCACTTGAATATCCAAAAATAGATTAGCCAAGTCAAGGACAAAACTCTGTGGGTTCGAGACGCTGTATACTTTTGCAAAGCACGAATAACGATGTATCGCATTGTAAAATTTACACAATATATAAATGTTTGGATTATCGTGCAATGATCAAATGTTCTTTTTAAAATATAAATTTTTAGTTGTAAAAAGTTTGAAAATCTCTTTTTCTTTTGGTATGCATGAATGAATATTATGTATGAAGTTCACATGAGAAGAATATTGCATTTACATTTAGTCTGTTTTATTATGGTTCACCTGTTATTTATTAAAAATAATAATCAATTATCTTTTATTACAAGACTATCATTATATGATCAAATTACAAAAATGCAAAAAAAAAATTGAAAATTGTTTAGCTAACAATTGTTTTATTGTCGTGATAGCGTTTTTGGTGATTGTTAAAACTATTCTAACAACTAATTCTAGAAATATTGTTTGATATAGATGTGTCGAATTGGATAGATTATTGATTAGAACCTGTTTCTCAATCAGGGTACAAAGTACGAGAAAAGCTTACCATGCGCATCTTCTGGTTTCGAAATATTTTTATGTAATAAAACAAAAAATTTCATGTTATCTTATATACTATTAAACAATGTAGTTTTATCTCATGTGTTTTTGCGTACTCTTTCATATTTATCTTATTCTTCAGATTATTTTGTAGATAGAACTATCGTTAATACATATACTCTAGTATTTATAAATATCTATTTATATATCACAACGGATTCTTTATAAGCAGTATTATCGTTGGTAAATGCGTTTGTTTTTTCATTGATTATACACGCATATCTTACATAATTAGTAGGTGGTAAAAAAAGCACTTTTAGGTCAATAACTGTTGCATTGTGTGGATCTTGCCATTTTGTTTCTTTTTTTGTATTAATTTATTTATGACAAGAAAGAAAAATTTAACCATGCGCAATAGAACGTAAAAAAGAAGTTGCAATAAAAACAAAAGGTCGTGTTTTTTTTAATTGATAGAACAAAGTGCATCTGATCATGCATATATCATATAAAAAATTTTCATCGTCATTTTTTACATTTAATACAAACAACTATCAATGATTCATGTGAACGATCATCATCATCTAAGTATCTTGCAATAATTGAAATTTTATCATGTGTCTAAGGAAATTCAACACTCGTAATGATAATATTTCATCATCAATAATTAAATAACCTTTAATATCTAATCAGTAGTTTTTTAATGTAAATGTTTACTGTTCTTCATGGATGTTTCAAATAATAAAGTTTTTTGTTTTGCTTCCACTATATTTAATGCTTTAATTGTTGCTATAATAAGTATTAGTCATGATGATGTTGAAAAATAATAACGCTGAGTCGATAAATGTTGATGATATTAACTCAATTTTTTTGTAACACAATATTATAATATTCTCTTATACCATGAGCTGTTTTTTTTTCTAATGTACCAATCGACACATTTTCAGTCATAATTCTAAATCGAGATAAATATCAATTGTAAATTTATGAGAAACATAGCTGTAATTTTTTCTATCAAATTATTCATGAATTCATTGATAAAAAAATTCTTGTTTTCTTTATATTAAAGATGTTTTGAATTTCTATTTAAATTACATATCATTTTTGTTGAATATTAAATTTATTTCTATTAAAATCTAACAAATGAATGAAATCAAAACTATATTTAGTTCGTCTATTTTAACATAAAAAAACAACGTCTATATATATATATATGAGTTTTGTCAAGGTGAATCATAAACAAAGAAATAAGTTCTGTTCTTAAATGCTGCTATTACGTCGTTCGATCGACTTTGTTCGTTCTGTAAAATACAATGGCGTCGTAACATACCCTAGAATCAATGCATACCTATGCTATTCTTATCTTGTTTTTTTGCTATAGAACAATAAAGAAATATTTGCTTTTATATACTTAATCTATTTAAATATTTCGCAAAAAATATATTTAGAACATTTCATTATTTATGTACATTTACTTTCGTAGTTCAAAGGTTCTACAGAATATTTTTGTATAGCATATAGTGAATATATTGATTTTCGACAAAAAATAAAAATAAAAAAATTTTCTTCCATCTATTTTAACAAGTTTATTAATAATATCATCAAAATCTCTCGAACATTTTTTTGCTGAGTGATATAAGTCAACGGCTGGCGCACTAATGGTTTTGATTGCTATTTATTAATTTTTTTTTTTCAATAGAAAGTGGTTTTTGAAAAGAAAACAACTCAAGTTATATGACAATCAAAACAAGATACATGTCAAATAATAATATTGAAAAAATTTGATACAAATTTGTTTCAAATTTGATTTTTATTACAATAAACACGTGTATTCATTGCTAATTCCTTTTCATTCGTGTCATTGTTTTTTCAACACTATGATGATTGTGATGACGCAGTAATCTTTTTGATAATCTTCTAGGGCTTTTTTTATTGTTTTTCGATTTCAATAGATGTATTTTTAGAATGAAAAAATATGAAGGAATGACTTTATTTTTATTTCATTGACATGAATCGATCACGCAGATATGTGTAGGTGTCGAACATGATATCTTTATACAGAATTATTACTTATGAAGTATGTTTTATGCCTACTGTAATCACATCATAAACATCATATTATAATAATACAGGAAGAAAAAAGATAGGTTAGTTGTTTTTTTTTATACGCAAAAGCTATGGAATAAAATATTTGACTAATACATTTCTACATATTGTAGAACTAAAGATGATTGGATAATAGCGATGACGTCTATGTTTTTATTCATCATGTAGTGGAGGTGTATTACTATATGAATAATTTCCTATAATCTATTATATATATATAAAACATATCGTCAAAATAGTGATTTAGATATGTATATATATATGCACATATATATATACACATTAAATTGAATACAAGTTCAGAAAAAAAAATTATTTCTCATTTTTACAAAATTTTCTCATCTTAGTTTTTTTTTTTTTATTTTAAATTTACTGATAATACAACCATCATCTTTCCTACTTTTATTATTATTAGTTATTTTTATCATTTTTGATGCCTTAATGTTGTTATATCTAGTACAATTTACTAAGGAAAAAAAACAAAATGTACTTTTACGGCGCAAAATCGAATAATGGTCATTCTACGATCATTCACTAGATGCATGACTTTATAACGTTCTACATCCATAAACGCAAAAAACAGAACGTTCTCTTTCTTCTATATTGACTTTTTTCGTCTATTATTCTCTCTCCCCAAGTTATAACATGCCGAGTTTTTACGAGAAAAGCAAAAAACACAGCCTTGATGTTTTTTTTTCTTTTCTACATTTTCTCTTTTTCTTTCTTATTGTCTATAAGTAGATTGTCACTAATAAATCGACTTCATTCTTGAACAAAAATGACATCAAACGGTTCTTTGATGACGCCAACAAACAGTTCTCCTGATTTTAATTCCTCAAAATTACAACAAACATCTCAATCAATCCCAAAATTAATCAGACGATCATCTGTATCAAATACAACACAAAAGCAAAATGGTTACACTACGAATCAACGTCGTCTAACGCATTCAACCATGAATAATGATTTTCTTAATACACGTGCATCATCATCTTTAGCTGCACCACTTCTTATTGATACAATGAATAATTTTTTTGAAGCAACAAAAGCTATGGAAGAAGAAATAATGTTACCATCAAGACTTAAAGACATGCCAGTTGAAGGTAAAAATTTCTTTGTTTTTTTTCTTACTATTAGAATTTTATTTTCCTCCTTTTTTTTTTTTTTTTTACTTTAAAGAACTTGTCTTCGACAATTCTGTTCAACCAGATAATTGGCATGATATTTATGCATTTATTCGAGAAATGAGAAATCAATTACAACGTACACATCCATTTGCTGAAGATGATGATAATAATACTAACACTAATACTAATACTACTACTACTAATAATAATAATAATTCAAATGTACCCCAAAGAAAATATTCCACTGATGATGAAGGAATTATAATTCCACATTATGATGCTAATCAATTTTCATCAGCATCATCAACAGTATCATCTGATGAATTCGATCAAATTTCAACATCATCGATTGCTACATCATATGAAACAATCAAAGATGAACTTAAATATCATTATTATGGTCTTTTTCGATCGCTTGATAATTTAACAGGAATGGCTAATCGTGTAGCAGAAAAATATCGAGAAGAAACTACTTTTTAAAATATTTAATGATGTTTAAATGTATATATGTGTTTTTTTGTTGATTAGACTAGGGCTCGCTGTTACCATTGTGCTTTCGGTTTTCTTTTGTTCGGTTCAAAGCCGAAAAACGTCTTTCTTGTATTTATTTTTATATTAATATTTTTTTTGAGCTAAAATAAAAAATTATTTTATTTAACAATTTCTATTAATAATGCTACACGGATCACATTACGATTGCTACAAACAAAACTATTATCATAATTTTATGAACTCGTGAACATATGCATTGCAATCTGTATCATTGTGGATGGAATATGTCTATTCTATATAGCCACATCTCATAGGACGGATGTAAGCTGAGAAAATTCTATTGAATTTAATAGCTAAAAAATTTTTCTGTCTTTCATATAATGCTGTAATTTATTCATTAATTGTAGTTGGCTCGAGTCAATGTTTTATCTAATGTGAGAACTGTGAAGGACTAGCGCTCCTCGAAACATGAAGAAGTAATAACTTGATGTATAACATCAAACAAAAAGTAAAATTAGGTGCAAAGAATAACAACAAGTTTGGATTGTAGACTCTTTTATGATACTATATCTCAATTGTGTTAGATTCTCAAAGCTATGTTTTTTTGTCCGCATCCTAATTTCATATGATAACAGTCAAGGCACGTCATAATCATAAATAACATAAGTAAAGAACAAAACAATAACAATGTAGATAGATAACTATTTCTTTTATTTAACAAAATCAACAAAAAACAAGTAATTTAATAAAATGATACGACAATTCAGTTTCTGACAATGGGTATATAAATATTGTGGAACACTCGAACAACTTTTATAACTCGTCTTATTACTTGGTAACGATATTGAATTGTAAAAAATCTATAATTCAACTTTTATTTAATTTTTTTTAGTAATTATTTACAAAATGATAACTTTTGAATTTACATTAGTTTGACAGTCACAACTATAAGAATAATGACATTCAAATGTAAAACATGAAAATCTCTCGATATTATTGTTTATCTCACAGGAAAATATCTTCACGTGTCGACCTACTTTTGTGCTGTTGCTTAGTGCATTGGGTAGACCACAGTAACCAATATTTACCACATAACAAAGTTCGCGCTTATAATATATTTTGGAAGAAATCAAGCGTTATTGGTAATTTTTACTGTCAGACCTTATATTTATTGCAAAACCATATGTCTGAACTTTATCTTGAAAGTTGACCTACATAAAAATCATAATCAGATTAGCTTATATAAATAATTTCAGAACTTATCGATTAAGTCTTTCTGAGAAATAAAAATTTCAAGATATAGATCCTTGTTCTACTTATAGTATATACAATGTGTATTTTTTGAAACCTTCATATTTCGGAGAGATTTAGTTCAAATGTTCTGAAATTTTTTATGCAAGCGATTTCAAATTGAAACTCATTAAAAACGTTTGATCTCGTCAGATATAGGTCATCAGCAGGAAGTCCGTATTCTGGCAGATATAGGTCACTAAGATCAAACAGATGCATTAAGTAGGGATTTAAATGTGAATGAACACCTGTGAATATTCCCTGGTAAGTTGAAATTTAATTCAAAACAAAGAAAAAGATAATCATATCAAATAGATATAGTTTTTGATAATGATAATAAAAATTTAATTGCTTGTTTGATATATTAATCTGATAAAATAATGCGAACAATACTTTTACTTCTGATGTTTTTTCGCGTTTTTTATTCTTGATGATAAAAAAAAATATTATCTTTCGATTACTTTTAATAAAAATAAGTGCGCAAAATAGATTATCATTGAATTGTTAAAAATACTAAGACATAATGAATGTTGACTTGTTTTTTTTTCTCCTTGATAATTTACTCAAAGATATCTTTGTCTACAGTTATAAGCATGTACAAAGTAAATTCGCTGTTCTCCTGATTGATACACATTACTATAAGACAACAGTTTCTAATCAAAATAAGATCCAAAATAAAATCTATTGGGTTGATTGATGATTTAATCTGAAAAAGTATTTTCAAGTGTCAATGCTTTGCTAAAGAATTTTATTAATGTTTGTAACAAAATTTTTCATAATCTATCACCATTATGAAAAACAAACAATGTGAAAGTTAAGTTTGAGAAAAGTCCATCGGCAAATGCTTTAGAAACTAATTTTACAAGCAAACCGTTTAAATTTATTCTTGATTAATTTCATATTGATATTTATCTTCAGATAGATTTTACATTCAGTATGACTAAATGTCAAGATCATATCAAAGTTGAACATAAAATTTTACATGCATAATAACGTATTTATTTTGATTTTGAATATTAAATATCTAATTAATACAATTCAAATTTGATTAGTATAAACACTGCCTGAAACATAATCATATATACTATTCATTTCATGACTTAATAATTATAAATAATCGAATAATGTATCATCAATGCAATCTTTTGAAAAGAATTTTATTATAATAAATACTGAATAATCGACTCATCATCGATTATGTATACGTTTTTTGATTACATTTCCAATCCCATTAACTATGACATCGAAGATTTATCTTGAAAATATAATAATCGAAACATTTGAAACTTTCAATACATTTCAAATAACCTACTTGTATCAGTAACTACTAGACAAATGAGTACTTTGATCAAATCCATAATGAGTAACTATAAAAATAGGACACCAATCCTATCGGTTATCATAATCATAAATCAAATTCTTTTGTTTTAAAGATATTTGAGATGGCGCTGTGCACAATAAAAAGATGTCCTCAACTTCACGTATAACTCGCTGATATACGAAAGCATTCTATAATGAGCAAAAATTACTACTTTCAAAGTACAGATGTTTTTATTATTATTATTTGAGTTTCATATTTTCTTTGAATAATACTCATTTATTTTTTATCTATGCATTGCATGCTAGATGAACTATAATGGCAAGGTTTCTAAAAAAAATTGAACACATTGGTTTCAGGTCACAGAAGCTATTTTTAACAATACCATTATAAAGAGCACAAAATCCTGAATAAAGCAAGAGATTTTCGTACTTCTGGTTACTGTGGCGGTACTTTCAAATTTTTAAAGGCAGGTCCTAGAAAATGTGACAACCACTCATACTGTGATTTTTAAAGTGACATTGTTAAAAATAACTTCGATGATCTGAAACTACCGTGTCCAGCTTTTCCGACAACTAGCCACCATAATTCATCTAGTACAGAAGGTATTAGATAGAAAATTCGATTGACTATCAAAATCTCTGTCTGGATTTGAGTTAGCATTGTTGTTAAACTTTTATCCATTACTTTACACATTACAAGAGTATGAATTTTCATAGTGTATGCTAATGAAGGAACTATCCAAATGGATAGCCGTCATGTGAGTTCATATTGGACTCACAGACAGAACTCAGTGAGATTAGCAGAAGCTAAAAACTTAGAACATCCTGAAAGTTTCAGCCGAACAAAATGTTCTTTCGTCAACTATATTGACTTTCTAAAAATAGCTCTTTGCTATAAGCATGTTAGAAAATCCGCGTTTACTAGAAAATTCTTTGAGTCATACGAACTACTACTTATAGGAAAAATTTTAGGTCAAAATTTCGTAATTTAATTTTCCGAAAACTACATACACTTGAGTCGAAAATAAAGTAAACTGGTCAGAACTCAGTGTCAAAGGCTCATGAGAACAAATCAAGAGAAAAAAGAACAAGACTTCAATACTCCGAAATAAGATGAAACATAGTGAAGTACCGTACTTGATTCGTACTTCACTGTGCTTCACATGTATGTTTAATAGACCAATATGAGAATTATAAAAATTTTAAAAATGCTGATGAACGTTCTATTCATGTCAGTCAATGCTATGATTCATTGTTGAGAAAGTTTATTTTATTTATTGAAACAGATATTTGACACTGTCATACTATCGAAAAGAAATACCAGAAAATCACATCCGTACCAAAATAAGTTAATTCACCAATAAACAAGGCTAATACAATAAGTAAAACCTATTGAATACATATAACTACTGAGATATATATGTAAAAATAACCAGATAATCGACTTGTCTTTCCACTATTTTACTGAGAGAACCAATGTGCTCAATCATCCTATGTTCTTTCATATTATGAGATAAAATATTCTTTGAATACCATCAATTTAACAGTGACAGCTGTTAATTACAAAGATTTATTTAGACAAAATTCTACTTTATAATCTGAATAATAGAAAATCATTAGATAAAGAAATTTAACATAGGTGAATCGGATATTTCATATGAGTTTTTTTTTCTAACGGATGGCACGCATCAAGTGCTTATTATTAAATAAAAGTTCGAAACGAGAAGATTATATTAAGTTTCACTAACAACATCATCTCTTGTTAGAAAACAACTTCCAGCAATGCTCAAAAATGATTCAGGAACCGAAAAAAAAGTTATTTTTGGCTGTATATTCTTGAAGTATTGTATTTCGAATACTTAAAATTTTCTTAAATTGCTGTTATCAATAAAACGAAAAAATGAAATATCAATCTGTTTAATCATTCATCATGACAAACTCATTATAAATGTGCTTGTTGGTAAGTTTGACATATAAAATGACAAAATACAACTACAAAAAAAAAGACCTGGTCATTTGTCTTCTGAGCAATACCAACCAATCAAAATCATCGATTCTATGATTGGTGAAGAATCAAACCATTGAATAGTATTATTCAGTATTAGTCTCATGCTGTGCTACTGTTTATTTATATTCTTTTTTTCGGAGATTTTGACACGTTTCTCGTTTCTCTCTCTCTCTCTAATTGCATTTGCTCACTCTTTGTCAATTTAAGCTATACATCATCTTTAACAAAGCAGAAAAAAAACGATTTTTATTATCACGAATAATCTTCTGGTAAGCGAGAAATATCTTTCATCAAAGGTTAATATTTTATTAAATTAAAGTAATAAGAATTTATTTTACACAAACATTAAATTTAATTAAAATAATATATTTAATGATATTTTTCTTTGATTATAATCCGTAAAGATTTTACTTTCTTAGTATGATTTTTATTAGTAGTATCGAATAAATAGTAGAACAAGTCGACTCAGTCTTTTAAATAGTATTTAACCTGAAAGTATAAGTTTTGTTTTTTTGATAATAGAAATAAGAACAATAGGTTTTCTTTTCTCTATGTAATGTATATAACACATAAACAAGATATAAACTATGTATCTTTCTCATGGAAAACTCATTTTGGCATTGATTATTTATGAATGCACTCACATACATATTTCTTTTTTTTTGATCTTACTGAAAAACATTACATTTTCAGAGAACAGCAAAGAACTATGTAAGTACATGTATATGAATGTTTCCAAGTAGACATCCGTTTCATTAATATGTCTCATTTCCTGTAACTATCACACATTGATAAAGCCGAAAGGTTTTTTGATTTATTTTCAATCATAAAAAGTGAACATAGGGACCATTTTTACTATAATTAGTTTCTATCTTTAATTTTATGATAAAATGAATGTGTAACATATAGCGCGTTCTCCTTTTCTTTTTTTTATAATGTGATGCATTGCAAGTGACATAATCAGTATCTCATTTTAATTGTTTGTTAGCCTGACCAAATGTTGCCAGCTGAAGAATGAAAATTAATCGATCAGACCTATATGCATATATTGTTGCTACTATCCCACTATCTACTACAGATTTATATTTGGCAAAAAGGAAAAGCCGTTTGATGATGAGAATGCGCTAAGACGTTCAAGGCATACAGAGAGAAAAAAAGAGAGAGAGAGAGAGAGAGAGAGAGAGAGAGATCATCAGCGACAGAGCCGAAAAAGAGAAGGAAGAAGAAGAAGAAGAAGAAGAGGAACTGGTATGTTGAGTAATGGCCTTTCTATAGAATGTATTACAACGACTGACTTGGTTGTTACTCTACTACATAGTCATGTAATAGAGGCTAACGAAGAAAGAGAGCAAGAGAACGGCAAAGAAAGAATCGATAGCCGAGCGGCACCGCCGTCTGCAAGAATATGATGAATTGTTAGTCGTCATCACTGTAAGGAAGCTAAAAGGACAGACAATGTAATTGAAGTAGTGGAGATAATCGTAGATGACAAATAAAACCGGTCAGTATTAGAGAGACAAACATGAAAAATTTTCACGTTTGATGTCACCATAGCATTGATAGTCGTTTATATTTAACCGATCAATTATCTTATTTTCTTTTTTCATCTGCTCGTCTTTCAGTTAGTCAGTTAATTTGTCTTCATCTTTATCCTCATATGTATATAGAAAGAGAAAAAAGCAACACATCTCATGCATGCATTTGGACTTTATTTATAGAGGTCTTTTTTTTTTTTACTCACATCATCAATCACTACGACCGCAAATAATAATCAAGTTTCGACGCGAGACAGAAAGAGGAGATGTTATTAGTGAAAGGGGAACAAAATAAGTTGATCGTTGATAAAGCAAAAAAAAAAAAAAGAGAGCATGCATGCAAGCTGACCGAGACTTCTCCTACAAATCACGAACATTGATGATGGACAGACAGCTTTGGTTTATATGAATATGCATACATATATATCTATATATATATGTATATGTCTAGGAGTGTTGTATGTTTCTTTTAGAAAAGATGTTAATGCTTCAAAAAACAACTACTAACGCACAACTAGAACAAACAATGATTTAATTTCAATAATGACAACGATACGCTATAACTGTTATATTTTTTTTTATCCGTCCACTATAAAATTAAATATTTACAAAAATTAACAAAAAAAAAAAATCAAATATAATGACTTCCACAATAACAAAAACCAAAACTGGCAAACAAATTGCATGTAAAGTTCATATGCTTGATGATCAAGATTTACCATTTCATATTGATGTAAGTAGAAAATTGTTATTACAGGAATATATCGATCTACGTCAAGCACTAACAATCATGGCAATCGATTCTATGATATATTTGTCAAAACAAACATAGAATGTGATAGATAGTCGAAGTTAATTGCTGAGTACGTGCGTAAATGTCTGTCATCAGCGCTCGTGCATCTAATGACGATGATGAAATGCTTGCTATTATCACAAGGAAAACACATATGTGTTTATTCTACCCATGCGTGTTCAATTGATTGATCGATTGATTGATTGATGGATGGAAAAGACTTGTTATGAAACATTGTATGCATTTGTTTTTTAGCCAAAAGCTACTGGACAAGATTTATTTAATTCAGTTTGCAATTATATTGATTTACTTGAAAGAGATTACTTTGGATTAGAATATCTTGATAGTCATCGAAATGTTGTATGTATTTTTATTAGCATAAAAGAAATATTTTATGATATTTTTATTATGTAACTAGTGCTGGCTTGAATCAGATAAACCAATACTTAAACAAGTTTCAGAAACAAAATTTTCATTTTGTGTTAAATTTTATACACCTGATCCAGGACAATTGGAAGAAGAATTTACTAGGTAGGATATAAATATATTATTTTAATCTTAAGTTATTATTTATATAATTTTCTATCTTATTTAAGGTATCTTTTTGCATTACAAATCAAGCGTGATCTTGCTGTTGGTGCATTATTATGCAGTGATAATACTGCCTCTTTACTGGCGTCTTATATTGTACAAGGTATATAAATTTTATTTTTTTATTTAATTAATTATTATTTTTTTAATAAATTCTAGCGGAAATTGGTGATTATCTTGAATCCTATAATAATAATCCAAGTTATTTTAGTAGTCGTAAATATTTTCCTCATCAAACAGTTGAACATGAAATTCGTATAATGAATTTTCATAAAAATCATATGTAAGCAAATAATAACAAAATTTTAATATTTATATAAAATTTATTATTTTCAAAAAAACAAGTGGTCAATATCCAGCGGATGCTGATCTTAATCTACTTGATATAGCACGTAAAGTTGAATTATATGGTATAAAAATGCATCCAGCTAAAGATCATGAACAAGTTAATCTTAATTTATCAGTTGCACATATGGGTATACTTGTTTTTCAAAATATAACAAAAATAAATACATTTTCATGGGCAAAAATTCGTAAATTAAGTTTTAAACGTAAAAAATTTTTAATTAAATTACAACCAGAAGGATATGTAAGAGATTGTTTTTTTTTTTTCTTATTTGATTAATTGTCTATTAAATTACAAAGCACTTGTTTTTTTTTCTCCGATAATTTTAAAGGGTTATTATAAAGATACAGTTGAATTTTATTTTGATACACGTGATGAATGTAAAAATTTTTGGAAAAAATGTATTGAATATCATGCTTTTTTTCGTTGTGTTACTATACAACGTTCACAACGTTCAAAAAATAAATTATTAGCTGGTGGTTCATCATTTCGTTATCATGGTCGAACACAAAAAGAAATAATTGAATATGCACGTGAAAATTATGCTAAAAATCGAACATTTACTCGGTAACAGAAAAAAAATAACATAAAATGTAAAATTTTTCTAGTTTTTGAGTTTCTTCAGATCTTATTCAAATACACGTACAGTTGCACCAATAACTAATCGAACACATCGTTCACCAGGTTCAACAATAAAAACATCGGATACAGTTGAATCTGTTCGTCATCATAAAAGTCAAATTGGTCTTATAGGAGATACAACAAATGTTTATCAACAAGTTTATTATGATGATTCATCAACACATGGTAGTCGAACATTAGATTCAAAATTTAGTCGTGATAAATATGATCTATCTGACGAGCAAAATACTGATGAAGATGAAGATGAACATATACAAAAACCAACCAATGGTTTATCATCATCATCACCTACACATATTTGTCGAAGCAGTGAACCGGTTCATGTTGATGATAATCAAAGTCCGTTAATTCAACATCCAATTGATCAAGTAGACAAAGGTAAATTTGTAAACATATGAAAAATAAAAACAACTATTATCGCTATTCCTATGAGATTAAAATGTGAAATACGAGACAATTAATCGTAAAGAGATGGCTTTTGTTTTATCTACTTGAGGACATACTTCTTCAATATTTTTCTACTTAATCCATAAGAAATATAATAACGAAGTATTTGATATATCATAACAAGATGTTATCAATATACAAGTCTTTGATCGTATATCAACGACACTTGTCACAATCTAGAGAAGGATCCAAATTTTTATCTATATACTTCAACTGTCCTTTCATATCATGTTTCACAAAAACAACTTGTTGAATAACAAATAGAATCCGTAACCAAGGACATTCGTCACCAATGAAAATCTATTTCGAGCATTTCTATCTTAAGCAGAGATAAGGCCTTTTGTCGAGTTCAAATGCTTGAATTGCTTACTCAATCGCGTGTACGGACTACACAGATTAACAGCATTAGTGCATTCCGATCGTAAGCTAGCGATAATAATATTCTATTCGATCTCGACATCTGTCATAACGATAACAGGAATGTTACTAATATGTGAAACCATTTTTTTCAGTTTTACATTCAAAATTTGTCAACTCTTAATGAAAACTCTCAATTTTTAACAGATAGACCAAAATGGAATCTAGATAAATAATTAAATTAAAAAATCCTTCATGGCAAAAAGCATTCTTCCATATTGAGCAGAACAGCTGTTATTAGTTTGTTCTAGTTCATCGTTTCAAGTATCTTTATTTTTGTGACGTTCATAAATTCAACGCTTGAGTTAATTTAATTATGTACATAACTCATGCAAGAACTCAAATTTTTATCTATAGAAAAAAAAAGTCATCCATTAAGAACAAGTTTTGAGATTTGCAAATATCAAACATATGAAAACAAAAGTTCGACTTGAATAGATCATTCAGTATCAACTATCATATTTATTCACAAGAGAATTTCTATAGTTTTTCAATTTTCTCTAAAAATCATATCTAACTTAAATGCACTAGATTCATGTAATAATATACTTGAAGAAAAGTGCATTGCGTGTCTTGTCCTACGTGTGATAAATATTGATTTGATTAATCCTTTCGCTTTTTATTCTATTGAAAAGAAAGTCTTTTGATAATTTAATAAGATTACTTTGATGTATAATTGTTTCTATTGATATATTTATTATAAAAGAAAGAAATCATAAACATAATTGTAAATATCCGATTCAATTTTTTACTAGATTTTTATCTTATTTGTTTCATAGATAAAGATGATTGGATATTTTCTCTATTAAAAAAATGTAAAGAAAAAAAAGTTGACATGGTAAACTAGCTGTATATTTTCTGTTCTTCAAATGAAACAATTTTTTTGCGAAAAATTTAATTTCCAGATATAAGTCCGATAACTAAATAAATGCTCTGCTGAAAGTAATTGTCAAAATGATGTTGTTAAATATGTATTATTTTTATTAATTTTTCAAAATCGTAATGATAGAACACTCTAATTAGTGGTGTAATTATTAGCTTCATATTCTCTTTAAGGATGATAATCGAAAATCTCTATTTTCTTTCTCATGAAAGTCATTCTAAAAGCCTTCATATACATATAAATATGAATGCAAACATTACAATAGGAATCAACTAGGTTGATATAAGCTGAAAATTAGTTATTTACAGGGATAGACAAAATTAAAAATTAATCACAAGAACTTGATCGACCTTCATACAGAAGAGAGCTAGAAGGTCAATATAGATTTTTTTATTCAGACGAGAATATTCTAAATATAGAGAGTAAATCTCATGATATTAAATCTTTCATTCGACAGCTCAGTGCTGCTTCTATCATTAATAAAATTTTCATGTCTAACAGTTTTAGTTTTCCTAATTGGTAAAATATTCTTTGAGTACTTTTCACATGAGAGTTAATGAAAATCGTGGAAAAGTGATATGTATCTGCAGCTAATTTTACCTATCTGTCGAGACAATCGAGACTTTCGTACGTCACAAGATTACATCGAATTGGAGTTTCCTATCTATGACACAATATAAACATGTGAACCTGTGCTTGTTAATAAGAAATTGGACATTAACACATTACAATAGTAAAAGAAAACCAAAGTGTGAAAAAAAAAGTCATTAACAGTGTTCAATTCTTTGCATTAAAGTCTATCAATCTCGGGTTACAGCTTGTGGTCAGAATTTACCGAGTTTTATTCAGGCAAAATGATCGAAACTTGTGTCATTTTCAATCACTAACGGGACCTTTGTCAACTACGGTATATTTGCTGTTTTTCTCAAATAAATCATTGTATCAATTCAATCGATTAAATCTTAGTCAGTCAAAATTGCTGTTAATCATTATGAAAGCTTGAATTTTCTTACTAGATTTTAGTGACGTTTGTTTCTGACAAATAGAGAGCTATGGATTGAATATTGTGATAGAGTCAGACTCAATAAAAAATAAAAGTCTGAACCCGATCGAGTATGGATCGACTCGCATCTCTCTATCCATGACATGGATGTTTTTGTATTTCTAAAAAAAAAATAATTATAACAATTGAATACGCTGCTGTTTCATTTTTTTTTTGTTTCGTTCCATATAATTGAATTTCGACATCTCTTCGTTATTGCTTTTAAACTATAGATTGGATAAGACAACTGATTAGAAAAGAAAATCCTTTTTCTTTTCTCTCTATTATAGACTGTAAGAATGCATTTTGCTTTGTTTTTTGTTCATCAAATTTTATATGACTTTTTTTATACAAACGGAAATAAACGACAAATTTATATATATAGTAGAGACTTCAAATAACTTCACAATACGCTGTAGAGTATATATCGAACTATATCCTATTCTTTGACAATCACACTAAACAAAATGATGATTTATAATCAATAGATAGAAATTTTTTTTAATATTTTTTTTCTATTATGCCTATATTATAGAAGATTCAGTAACTTCTTTGTCAACATCAGCAAGTCTACAACAACATCGACATCAGATTAGTGGATTTGTTAATAATCATCGGCCAGTACCAGCTGTAACTGCTAGTATACCACCACAAAAATCATCAACCAGTGAACAACAATTCATTTCAGCAGCACAACGATTAAGTCTTAGTAAACCAACGGCAATTACAAATAATAATAATACTGATATTCAAAGTCCAACTAAAAGGTAAATATATACATGTAAATAAACTAGAATAATTGTTTATTGACACATAAGTTATAAAGAATTTAAAAGAAAACATTAAAGCAAATTGGTCTATGAAACTTTTCTTGAGAAATGTACTGTTGCTAAAGTAAAGACGTTACAGAAAGATGAATATCTGAGATGTATCGATTATCACTTTGAGAAAGCCTTAAGAAATCATCTCATAAGAAATAATGAAGTTAATGAGAGTTTATGTTAGAATACTTTAACAAATATCAAATCAGTCTGTTTAGACTCTCGTCTACTTTAGTAGATAAATTCTAAACTAATTATCTTAATTTGATACAAGACTTCAATTTTTTCGTGTTTCTTAGGTCTTCAATCGAGGAACATATGTTTTCATCTGTACCATCTTCTCATGTATCAATGCAACAAATAAGTAAAACTGAAGAGCCAGTTATTGATAATACGAAGGTAAATTATTAAACGTTTTCAAGATGAAAAACTCAACTTGATGTTCTATCACTTCACTATAGACTCGAATTATACCAATTATTCATGAACATCGATCACCAACAATACCTATTAATACAATTGACTCAAGAACTACAACTATGTATCACCAATCACGTATGTATAATTTACTTAATAGTGAACTATAAAATAAATTCTATTGCACTTGAAGAATTAGAATTGAAGATTGATTAAGAAAATTCATTTTTTCCTCTGAGAGGAACTGATCTGTTCCAACAATTTAGTTCTTGGTGTTGAGTTGTCAGAAAAATTTTGTACCTTTTTGAAAATGGTATGTCACTAACAGAGCAAAGGTCTTTTATACCCAAAAGTACCTTTTCTAAAAATAGAACAAAAGATTTTGACAGTCTGAAGTACTTCTCCAAAAAAAAGGAATAAAAGCTTTTTATATCCAGAAGTGCTTTTCCAAAAGACATAACACAATTTTTTTTATACCCGACGTGTCTTTCTCAAGAACAGAACATAAATCCTTCATGTTCGGAAACATTTTTCCAATAAATAGAACAAAAGCTTTTTATACTCAGAAGTGCCTTTGTTCAATACAGAATACAAGACTTTTATACCCGAAAGTATCTTTCCAAAATACAAAACAAAAGTTTTGTACCTGAAAGTATCATCCCTGAAAATGCTTCAAACAAATCAGTTCCTCAGATTCGTACTGGCACTGGATGAGTATGAGCAATAAAGTATCTCAATTTTTTACAAACAAAACTATCATTTGAAATGTTGATCCTCTTGTTATCAATGACATATTTCAAAAAATTTCATATGGATTTTAATATTTTTATTTAGCATCCAGAATAATTACATCAACATCTTATCCAATGAGTCCTCCACTTGCAGGCATTCCAGTAAGATTTCCTTTCTATTACATCACTCTTCTTATTTAAAACAAAAAAAACTCTAAATCATTTAGCGAATGATTGGTAATATTCCTTCATCATCATCATCAATAATACTTCCAACTACTGTTACATCAACAATGACAATATCACCTATACATGATCGATCATTTTATATTTGTAAAGAATTACTTATGACTGAACGAACATATAGAAAAGATCTTGAAGTAATTGCTGAAAATTTTCGTCGTGAATTAATGCTTGCTATTAATCAACAACAAGATTTATTTATGGATGAAGAATATAATTTTGAAAATGAAACATTAATTCATTTATCTGATGTTTTATTTATACATTTATTACCTATTTATAAATTTCATCTACATTTTCTTCGACAACTTGAACAAAGAATGACAGTTTGGTAATAAGAAACTCTGGAAAAAAATTTATCTATTAAGTCAATTGAAAAATTGTTTTTTATTTTTAGGGAAACACGTTCTATACCAGGTAATGAATTTATCAATGTTGATAAAGTAATTCCACAACTTGGAGATTTAATTATGAATTTAATTGATATTTTACCGGTAAATATTTGAATATATTTCTTTTTTAAACATTTTTTTTTTAAATTCTATGTTTAAAATAGAGATATGAACTTTATATAGAAAATTACGATTGTTTATTAACAGAACTTGAATATGTTCTTAAACATAATCCACGTTTTGATATAATTTATAAAGAATTTGAATCTGAAAAATTTTGTTATTTATCATTAATGGCATTTTTAATAAAACCATTACAAAGACTATTACATTATGAATATTTATTTGAAAGTAAAACAGTTTTTTTTTTGTTGTTATAAAAATTTATAGATTTTTTTATTTTTTAGAATTACTTATGTATTATAAAAATAATAATCATGAAAATGAATATCAAGATTGTTATGGAGTCTTCATTAAAATTCAAGATCTAATTGAAAATTTTACTGAATCATTAACAATGATAGTATGTTGATCTGTCTATTTAACAAAACTAAACATAGAATAGTGTTTTATACAGATTTTCTCTTCGAAAAACGTGATGTAAAACTCCAGGAGGCCGAACACCTATTTCAGGAAGCTCAAATACCTCGAACATGTTTCAAAATAATCATAAGCTTTGGGAGAACAAATTCGATCTTCGAAGGAATGTCGTTCTCTCAGCTCTCACGCTTGAAAATAGTATTTGAATTATCTTAATTACAGCAGTTCATACAATTATTAAGGATAGCTTAATTCATTTTCTTTGGTAGTCAGATATAAAATAATACGGAACCATATAGAATAAGGTGAATAGAAAATTACTATGAAGCATTTTGATGTAAGACAGGAAATTATAAACCTATGTTTAGAATTTATAATAAAAATTTTGGTCATCCAAATAACTAGTTGGTAAAGTTTTCCTTTTCATGATATTAATGAGTAGTTATAGAGAATTTCAAATATATTATTAATTATTAAAAGTTTTCTTTTTAAGAATGTTTGACTAGCTTAGTTTAAAGGAAAAAAAAGATATACAACAGCAGGATATGAGTTTATTGAGTTAAACTGTAATTGAAGGAGATATGTCATTGGAAATCTGTCTAGATCAAATAATTTGCAATTATTTATGTATAAAAAAAGCTGTTAGTGCACTCTCTGCAAGATCTATATGTCAAAGACAATGTAGCAGATGTTGCTAATTACCGAGAAATTATTTTATTCTATCTATTTTGGGACATGTTTGTTAAAGATCTTTTTACTTAATTCTTCAGAATGCAATAAGGAAGTAGTACATATATAATAGCTAGACATGATTAGTAATCGGTCTTTGATCGTATATTCGTAGTATCTGTCAGGATATGTCGAGGGTTCAACTTTTTACTCTTATACTTCAATACTCTTGTTAAGTCGTGTTTCACAAAATCTAGAAATTGACATCAACGACTTCATGTAATCGTTATATTTCTTTAATCGATAGTGTAGAATAAAACTTAATCGATCAAAACAGTTTCTAATCTTTGTATTGAGTATTGCAACCTAAACAAGTTTCGAAAAATGCTTTCAACAAATTTCTGGAAATATGTTCATTGTACATAGATAAATGTGGCTATTATCTCAAATACTTGTTGAAGTAAAAGTTTGTTTAATTTTATCATCTCAAGTTTTATCTGTACCAGAGATGTACACGACCGACACAAAGACTAAAACAACGGGATATTATTAAGCGGTCAGTAAAATAAATGAAATGGTCAGTAAAATATATGAAATGATCAGTAAGATAAATGGTCAGTAAAAAATGTATAAATGATCAGTAAAAAGATTAAATGGTCAGTACTTAGATTATTACTCATATAAAAAAAAAGATTGGAAAAAATCTGATTTTAATCGATTTTTTTGTGATTAAAAATCGATTAAAATGGGACAGTTTTAACCAGATTTTTAATCAAACTAGTGATTAAAATAAATTAAATTTATAAATATCCGTTTTAACCGATTAAAATTTTTTCATTGACTATTTTACTCAATTTTAGTCAGATTATTCGATTTTTAATCTATTAAAATCGATTAAAATTTTTAAATCTATTTTAATCAATTCTAATAGTTTTTCTTTTTAAATGAATAAGTACCAATTGATATCGAGTCTTGAAGCATGGAATTTATGTCAAAGGTCCATCTAGCATCATATCTACTAATTTTCCGAGGCAAGGAGTCCGAAAAAGTGATCGAACATCTGAGTTTTCAACATAAAGTTTGAGAAAACGCATTTTACCGTCGCCGCCATTAAAATTAATATTTATAAATTTAATTTATTTTAATCACTGGTTTGATTTAAAAAATCGATTAAAATTAGATTTTTTCCAATCTTTTTTTTATATGAGTGATAGTCTAAGTACTGACCATTCAATCTTTTTACTGATCATTTATATACTTTTTACTGACCATTTATCTTACTGACCATTTCATCTATTTTACTGATCATTTAATTTATTTTACTGACCGCTTAAATAGTAGCCTAAAACAACCTTGTTCTCGTACATCTCTAATCTGTACGAATCAGTATTTTTGAAATGTCCGAAGCAGACACCAATATAACAATTAATGAAAGTTTCGTATTTTTGATTTGAATATAGGTCCTGTGTGTTTAGAGGAATAGTAAGATTGCGCGTCTTCAACGTCGTAAAACTCACCACTTGTCAAAAGTCCTGACGGGTATTACCTCTGCACTATTGCTAGTCTATAAAGTAACAAGCTATAATTACTAACATTTTTCACAAGTTATAAAATATCATTTTTATGCATTATTAACACATAGGTGCGAGCAGAAATTCAACCGAATGTTAGTTAAAATAAAATCAGACGTGTATAACCAAGGAAGAACAGCATGTTTAAACACTTAACAAGTTAAATCAGTCATAACCACTCCTATAATTACTACAAAAGACTTTTTTTTGACATTTCTTCTGTTTTTGACAGGTCTATTATTACATGTTCTAAACTTATGCTTCATACTAAATATAATCTCAAACTGCTAAAGTCATATATGTCTTCTCCCTTCTCTTTGAAATGACATAATGCAATTACATTTGTTATAGTTTGATTAAGACAACTAAATATAAAATGCAGAAAATAGAACATCTTACAACAAAAACAAAAGAAGGCTTTTCATGGAAAACGAACGAAATCAATATCAAGGTCCCTATATTAAATGAATTTTGCACATACTGTTAAGTTTAATATCTGAGAAAAATTTACGATCCATATCCAATATTAGTAGATGAACTTCAATGAAACATCAAATAATCAATTTCTAAGAAGAAACTTCATAATTTTTTTTCTCTTATAGTTAAATCGGCAAAAATTGATTGAACTTCAACGTGATTTGATCGGTGTTGAAAATCTTTCGAATCAATATGATCGCGTAGGATGATATATTATTGTCTTATTAGAAACATCAATTCTCATTGAAACTTCTGTTTAATTTTTTAGCAATTTATACGTGAAGGTTGTCTACAAAAATTATCAAAAAAAGGCTATCAACAACGGATGTTTTTTTTAGTAAATTTATTTTTTTGTTTTTTAAAATTATTCATCAATAAAATTTTTATTTAGTTTTCTGATGTTTTACTTTATTGTGCGCGTAGTTCCAGTCCAGTACTTAAATTTAAATTACATGGTGAACTTCCATTAAAAACAATGACAGTACGTAATTTCTCTTAACTACTATGGCAATCGAATAGTTCGTTTTTTTTTCTAGGTTGAAGATACTGATGAACGCATTCAAATTCCGAATTCGATTACTATCTATGCTGGTAATCGATCATTACTTGTAGCAGCCAGGTATTTTATTACATAGTTCTTAGAATGAAATATGTTAAATGTAGACTTGCATATCACGTTTATCTCCTTAAAGTTGAAATTGATCATAGGAAAATATTGGTTAGCAAGTTCGAATCTGAAAACTAACCAAACAGTTTAGATAGTGTACGGTATGCGGTTAATCGCTTAAGTGTTTATTGAAGTGTATCTATAATCATAGAGACAATCTACAGTTCGGCTAAGTTCGTATTCGAGTATTTCTAATTCTTGTTGACTACCTTTAGAATTCCTCCACACCTTCAACTATGTATCACGGGCAAAGTGATAATAGGACCCAGACTGATTTTTTTTGACTAGTTCTGAGACCAAACTTCTCTAGAGTCAGTGCTCCGAACCAAATACTGTTTCGTCCGCGAATCAAACAAAATTCTTCTTCTTCGTTTGGAGCAAGTTGTATTTTTTACTGGATCCGGAGCCAACTATTTTTTGTTGACTAGAACTGGGGCCAATTACTTGATCAGAGGCGCTTGATCCCGCTCATGTCTAGTTAAAATTAAAGTCTAATAGAATTTTAATTTTATTTCATTTTTATTTAAAATTTTTTAGTTCGGAACCTGAAAAGAATAAATGGCTACATGATTTAAAATCAGCTATTGAAAATGTTAAAATTACTATTGATGATCATAAAAATCAATATACAGCTACGATGAAATCCAATGGTAACAAAAAAAAGAAAATAAAATCATATTATGAAACTTTTTTAATAACTATTTTTTAGCATCATCTGAGAATCTTGAACATTCTCTAGTTGGTGCACTTGAAGAAGATGATCCAAATCAAATTGATCGTTCATGTTTTCAACATCGTGCTAATACAACAATGCATGTATGTTGGCATCGAAATTTATCTGTATCAATAAATGATCATCGACAAGCAATTAAAAATCAATTAAGCGGTTATTTATTACGTAAATTTAAAAATTCCAATGGTTGGCAAAAATTATGGGTTGTTTTTACGAATTTTTGTTTATTCTTTTATAAAACTTATCAAGTAATTCCTATCAAAATTTTTTTCTGCATGGTTCGATAATGTTTTTTTTCTATTAAGGATGATTCTCCATTGGCATCATTACCATTACTTGGTTATCGTAGTTCATTACCATCAGAAGCAGATGGTGTTAATAAAGATTTCGTATTTAAATTACAATTTAAAAATCATGTTTATTTTTTTCGAGCCGAAAGTCAATATGCTTTTGATCGGTAAATGATTAGTTTTTTTTAAATTTTACTACAATTGTTGTTATTATTTAATTATTTTGTTTTTTTATCAATTAGATGGATGGAAGTTGTTTCAAGTGCAACAACAACAACAACGCCTAGTCAATTAATTTAGCTGATAAAATTCTCATCTGTTTTTTTTAACGATAAAAGAGGGGAAATGGGTTATTTTTAGTTTGTTTTTTTTCTTATTTGTATTGACACTACGTGGTGATTGTTCTAACATTATTCATTTTTTTTTTGTTTTGTATAAAATTTTATTGTTGTATTGTTTGAATACTATTAGACAAATGGAAAATTTTATTTCTTTTCTTGTGCAATGATATTTATGAAAACGAAACGAAACAATGATTGCAAAAATATCAATTTATCTTGATAAATCTGGCTGTATTGCTTGATATTAATGTTTTATTTTAAACAATCATTGGTTCAAATATTGGTGCATTATTAACAATACGTTGAAAACCAAAACGTGTTAAATCAATTGATTTATATTTAAAATCTACTATAAATTCGGATAAAGCACGACCAATAGCAGGTGCATGTTGTAAACCATGTCCACTTGAACCATTAGCAAAAAAGAAATTTTTTTGTTGTGGATGTGGACCAATGATAAGACTAGTAAAAGCAAAAAAAACCTCAATTTTATTTAAAATAATATAACAAGTTTTATTTTACTTTTGATCAAAATAATTGTAATCATAAAAACCACACCAGGCATTTTTGAGCTAGAAATTTCAAAATAATTTTTATGAGATTTGATGACCAGATAGAATAATGTATGATTGGAAAGTTTTTAGACAAGATTTTTGTGCTTTTTTGACCCGCTAGAACTTCCGACGAATCAAAAGCTATAAATTAAAATGTTCTGGTAGAAAATGGGCTTAGAAATATCGTGTCTTTTTTTTGTGTAAGATTAATAAGGGACTTTTTGAAAGACTTAACTATTGGTGAACCAATAGATTTTGTTTACCCTATGAGGACATTTTCGAACATGATAAAAACTGTCAAACTCAACTGTTCTGTAGAGCGGACACTTTATAAAATGTGATATTGAATTCAGTTGTAGCGTTGATTCAAGTGAGACTATTAGGACAAACGAAAATTGAGGCGCCTTGACGAAGGATCAAAATAAACTTGGAATAGTGCATTTTGTAGGGTAGTCTTTGGTCTAAGTGTTGATATATAAATAAAAATCTAAGTTTTAGTTTCGAATCGCAATAGTGAAAATACAACAATTTTTCATCCAAACTAAATTTTTGGGCTTTTTAAAAGTTGTTTCAATATTTGCGAACGAAAACTAAGACAAAATTTCTAAATCTATATTCGAAAAAAGTATGAAATTCTAGTTGTCTCTTTGAAAATATTTTTTAGTGGAATAAAACTAAACAAATATCTTATTTAGAAAACTTTTCGATCACTCGCTCTGACAAATAGTATTGGAAATAATATTCATTTCGCAACTCACTTTTCGATTGTAGTCAACTCTTTACCTCCTTAGTTATTGGAATGCAATTTGTACAGCAATTAAGGATGATAATATTCTTAGGATATCAAAATTTTACTTTTTTTCATCTAAAAAACGGTGACGTCCCTTAGATCACACAAAAAATCGACTTCAAACTTTGCACGAACAAAGTTTTTGATAAGATTAGTTCGTTGTGAAAATTGCAACTTTACTAGTGTCTCCTGTCCTAAAATATCCAATATTCGAATTTTTCTTATATGTAGAACTAAATTTACATCTCCAAAAATAAAATACTAAAAAAAACTTAAACTCACCCGATAAATTAGTTCTATTAAAAACTTTGTTCGTGCAAAGTTTGAAGTTGAAGCTTGAAAGTCTATTTTTCACATAACTTCAGGATGTCTACATCTTTTTGTTCAAGAATTCAACAAAATTTTGATATATAAAGAAGAAAGGCCCAGAAAACAAAAATATTCTAGACTTTTCTATTACTCACTAGCACTCATCAAATAAACATCAAGTCGATCGCAAAGCAATTTGACACATGCAGAGGTTCTCACATAAGTAGAGGATATGTACATGGATGGCTGTGGTTTTTTCGTCTCTGCATCCATGTGCACAGGCATAATCACACCCTCCATCAAAGCACTCTCGCTCCTTATGAACTTATACCAGTTAAACATCATGCTATAGGTAGATGTAAAATCAACTGGATTCATTTTGAATATTTTAAGATAATTTTTATGTCGTATTATGGAAAGTATCGACTTGTATAAGAAATTACATAAATTGGAGAATAATAGATCATTTTCAATCCTATGACACTATAGAGTAACTTTTTAGAAATATATTTCTTATATTCGAAGACTATTGGTCTCAACAGAAATAATATATCATTGAAAGTCTTATATCTACTGGAGTCCTATATTAGAGTCAAGTATGAGTCTTTTTGATATTTACCGTACAAACTGATATACTTTTAATATTCGTCTGATGTTTCTTAGCGGTCTTCTAAGTGTCAATAATAGTTGAAGTCAATCTGTACTCTGATTTTTGACGTTGAGTGTGTTTTTTCACGTGAATATATTTATCAAGAAATATTAGTCGACTGTACAAAGTATGTCAATATATACAATGAATATCACAAAACAACAACCTAACTTAACTTGTTAATAAGACATTTAGGTGACTCCAAGTTCAAGACTCTAATATCTAACAAATAAGAAAAAATTATCGTATATCTTAAAGACAACTTTAAAATATTTATATTTGCATAAGATATAAATTACTATATCTATCCTTACTTTTAAAGTTTCAAAACTTGGTATTCGTTTGGCTAATGCTGGCCAAATTTGCTCTTCAAATACGGAATAATCAACTTCTAAATTATCTTCTGATTTATCATTTTCCTAAAAAATATAAATTTAGTTTAATATAAAAATAAATCCTGTTGTCTTTTCGTTTTATTTACTTCACTTGGACTACATCCACAAATATATGTATTCCCTAAACCTTCCGGTCGAAAGTAAACACCAGTTATATCAACAAATAATGGAGCTAATGGACCAGGTCCATTCAACGATTCAAATACAAATATATAACGTTTTCTAAAAATTATAAAAATAAATTTTTATACAACTATCAATAATTTTATTCAACATTATCAATCATTAATATAGTTCTACATAAATGCAAAATATTAATTGTTATTAATTATTTCATTTTTCATGAAATAAAATTGAGAACCTTGAAATATTAAATTTGTCTTCGTTTATCTTTTTATCTTCATAATACCGTATTGATGAAACACCTTGCGTGTATGACAAACAAATAATTACATCAATGAGACGAAGAAAGCAAAAAAAAGCGAATAAATTAATCAACGTCATCGTCTTTTTTTCTTAACATACAAGACAGAATAGTGTGGTGTATAGTTGTGCAAATTATGTTACGCTTCAATGATTCTACTTTCGTTTTGTTACATACAGTCCTTTTTTTTCCTTACTATATATATCGATCATAGTCCTTCAAAACGGCTGAAAGAAAGAAAGAAAAAAATTTGCACTTCATAGATTATTTGTTGTTGTAATCAATTTTAAATTTAAATTAATAATAATTGATGGATACGAACGGTTCTCCTATAGCAACAATTAGTGGCAAAAGTGTCGTAGATGATAACACTACAGCAGTTAAATCAAAAAAACGTAAACAACGTGCTCCACTTCGTCCATCCGATACAAATGGTAATATGAAAAATGGAAATGTATCAACATCATCACCAAAACATATGTCAACTGCAAAAAATAATCAATCAACAGATTTAGAAACATCTATTCATTCTGAACAATCAAATAAACCAAATTCAACAAATGTTGATATTAATAGAAACTCTGATCCTTACGAAGTCACGAGTATTCCAGATGAAAATGAGCCATATGAACGTGAAAAAAAACCTGTATCTCAAACATTAAGTCAATCAATGACTGATCGTGATAATACAATGGTTTCATCATTTACAACAGGTGGTGATAATGATGTTATTGAAATTCATCAGTTTAGTGCAGGTGATGTTGATGCTTATCTTGATATTTATTTTGAAACACTCGATAATCGTTTACGGCATTATATTGGAGATGATGAACAACTACAACGATTTCGTGAAGCAATGAAAAATCGAATAAGTAAAAAAAAAGCAATAAAGATATTTGAACAAAAATAATCAAAACTTTTATTTATTTATTTTTTTTGCTTCTTCTCAGCTTCGAAACCAAATTCACGTGAATATCAAAATGTACTTCTTGGTAAAATCAATGGTGAAGTATTAGCTGCAGTAACAATGTTATTTCCAAAAGAAACACCAACAATTCCAGAAACAGGAGATACTGTATCTCAAAATACTTGTTTTACATCCATGCATCGTTGGGTGGCACGAAAAGCAAATTATGTTCCAACGAATATTGAAGAGTGTTATATTGAAATGATTGGTGTTAAAGCTGCTTATCGAAATAATGGTATTGGTTCCGCTATGCTTGAATGTGTTGAACAATACGCACGACAAGCTGGTGCAAGCTTATTAACAATACATGTAAATGGACAACAATTACGAGATTATTTTGAACGTTTTGGTTTTGTTATTGATACTACAGATAATTCACAATTTTGGAAATGGATTGTTGAACGACAAAGCAATTATAAACTATCAAAAATTCTTCCGCCGGAGGAAGAAGATTTCTATCACCGAACGGATAGTTATGTTAGTGAAAGTTTGGCTGAAAGTGTTCATGAATAATAGAATCATTATTTTATATAAAAAAATAAAATGTAAATAAAAAAACAATAGATCATTGTTTTTTTTTACCTTGGTTCAACAGGCAATGCAACTGGATATTCACCAGCAACACCAATACCCGCCATTTTTGCTACTTCACCAGCCCAAGGACCAGCAGCATTGATAATCAATGCGGCATCCATTGGATATATTTTATTATCTTCCGCAGATAGGACCTAGATAATATGTCAATATGATTACGTAAAGCTGTTTAGAATGAGTCATCATTTATATTGATTAATAGAAAGTAATGTCACGAATACATCATTCACTGAGATAAGGACAAGCGTTGTCATGGATCAATGATGTTCTATGAAGCAAAACCTAAAAGGAGTATTGGATGATAGGGGTAAATTTTCTGATCTTCTTCTCACATGCCGTGACAAACGCTAGTCATAGATCATAACAGACCGTGACGTACATTATTGATATATAATCAAAGACCGCATGTACATAACATCGCAGTTTAATATACCAACTACTTCCTTATTACCGTAACTTAAGAAATTTTAAGCTTTCTTCGTATTCGATTGAAAATGAAAGTCTCTACATTTAAATAGTTTTCATTTCATATATTTTCTATAATAATTGAAGATAATTTGTCAACGACAATGTTTACACTAGTTGTTGTTACAGATACATCTTTATAATGATTTTACAAAAATTTTCAGCGTACTCTTATCATATTTACCTATAAAATAGAGTAGACTAATGATAGTTTTCAGTAAGAGACTGTTATCAAAATTATAATTAGTAGTAAACATATCTATGTGTCAGGACAAATTTTTACTCATGTATATATAATTAAATGGAAATTGTCTTCATAAAATACACGTTCGGTATAACATAGGTATATTTCTCTTTTTCACTATGTTACAACACTCATTTACAATCGTGATTCACAGTATAAACATGACGCATGGTTATATCGGACAATTGCACTCATAACAACTTTCGAAAAAACAATTCTCATGATTTAGACATATAAATATACAGTATAATAAAATTGCAACATACAAAGCATTTCATATTCTATTCGTTGATAATATTTCGATAGCTACTGCTTCTACAATATTGGTAAAAAGTATAAGACCAACAAAGTTTTGATTTTTTTTTCTATAATATTACGCATTTAAATCAAATCTAAATAGTAGTTTGAACAGCAAAAGAAGTTCTCCATCAAATGCACTTCATACCGAATTTTCTTAGATGGACTCTGAGAGAATGTTTTCAAATTCTAGAAAACTATGTGAAAATTATTTTTCAAGTTTGCAATTTTAAAGAAAACCAAATTCTAAATAAAAGGGAAGATTGTCGAATTTTCGACAACCTTCCATTAGAAAAGTTATAAGCATCATACAAAAATAGATGTTTTAGTACTACTACGATAAACTTCACTTTGTGATGCGTATAAAATTTTATGGGAAGGTGGTAAGAATTGTGATAATCCCTCATAATATTCGTCGTTTTAGGCTCTTTAAGGTGGTACTCTTAAAAACTAACTACCACACGGTTTCCTAAAACTTGAATATTGCCATGTTTAGTTTTTTCAAAAACATTCCTCTTGTAGTCCATCTATAGAATACATGTAGTAGAGAACTTCATTAATTATTCAAACCACTATTTAGATTTGATTTCAATGCTTGTTAGCGTAGAAAAAAAATCACAAATATGTTGATCTTATATTTTTTACTAGCACTTCAACATCAATATTAGAATCAACTTACTAGAGCTTTATCCAATTGATTTTCTATAGTTCCATCAGCCCATATTCTTTTTGCTTTATCAAAGCCAACAAGTTCCGCTATAAATTATCAAGTAACAAAAAAATTTAATATAAATGATTCTCAGTAAGTCGTTCATACAAACAAACCATTAAGATACAAAACACCAAGTGATAATGCTTTTTGTCGAAAAGCAGTTAAGAAAGCCCATGGATCTAACCAACCTTCATTTTGAACACCTAAAATAAAATCAATTTATATTAATCGAAATATAATTTCATTCGATTTTACCAAAACAACCAATTGCAATACCATCAGTATTTAACCAAGGAAATTGTTTGTTCAGCATAGTTGGTGTCAATAATTTTAATTTGGCCCCTAAAGATCTAAACTATGAATAGGATATACATGGATTTGGTAGAACGAGAAACCTTCGAACATAATGCTATACAGTGTTAGAGCAGACACTATTAATATATAAGTACAAACAATTAATGCTCCTGTGAATTATTCATATAGGATAAGTAAATGAGCATGTGCTTAAGCTCTATTAATAGCATTTTCAGGTTTTTTTCCCCCTTTCTATTACATTAATTTATTTTTATGAATGGAGCAAGCAATGGAAATTAAATATACAAGAGTTCTTACGTTTGTGTTCGATAATTTTCTTCAAAAAGTTTAACACTATTTTCACTTCCACACAATAAATAACCATTATGATGAAATGAAACAGGTACTGGATCATCATCTAAATTGCAAATAATAATAATAATCATAATCATAAAAGAAACAAATAAATTAGATGAATTCTGTTGTCACCGAGGATAGATAGATGATCACGAATATGTTTCAAAAATTCAGCACAATAAACAGACATTTGAATATTTTCTTCCTGCAAAAAAAAAACTAATATTATTATGATGATTTTTTAAATATGAAATCGAATAATTACAAGTGCAAACTGTTGACGTACACCGCCAGCAGAAAGGACGGTACTTGAAGTTGTATACTAAATTATAAATATACAATAAGAGTAAATATTTCTTTAAGTTTTTTCTTACATTCCAATCACGTTCAAGAACAGTTACTTTGAGATCAGGTGCACGTTGTTTAAGAAAAAAAGCTATTGCAGAACCTTGGATAGCACCCTAGATTTAAAGAGTTAGTTAACAAAAATTTGAAAAAAAAACAAGATTATAGACTTACACCAATAATAAGCACATCAGTTTCAATTGGGATATTTTTAACTCCTAAAAATTATATCGATTATCTATAGTTGAAATTCATAGCTAAACATTGAATTAGAGAAAGTGCAATCCTTATCTTGGCCATGGGTTGGATCGAAAAACTTATTTTTACTAGAAAAGCATATAAGATGCAAATGAATTTCCTTATTCAGCTCAATCTCAAAGTTTGAATACCACAACTATATTCTTTTCATATCAAAAACAATCTCCTATGGTCATGTCTCAACACTTCGAATTCAATTTCTATGCAATGTGTTTTCATGGTCACTTCGAAATAGAAACTAAATATTTCATGAGAATACTTTTCACGATAAATGATGTAACGACGAAATCTCTCCTAGTGTCAGAACGTTTCTTGATCGAGACAACGCTTATTAAATGAGCATTAGTGAGCAATAGGAAGTTAGGCGTGATTTGGTATAGCGGATCTTTATTTTGGAGATATACAAATTTTACTGAGTTTTTCAACAAAACGCTGTACTTCTTCTAATAGATTTTCGAATTAAAATTTTGCATAAACAAAGTTCTTAAAGAGATTAGTTGATTGTGCAAGTTGTCACTTTGCTATTGTTTTCAATACCAAGATATGGAATATTCGAAAGTCTCTCATGTGTAAAAGCAATTTTCTTCATATATTTACATTTCCAGAAAGAAAATACTAGAAAAGCTAAAAATTACACAAACTAGGTCCACAAGTGACTTGACATCTGGAGCGATTGCCTAGTAAGCTATCAAATGTTTAACATATTTTCTAGGGAATCTCAAGCCTCTGGACAAGTCGTATTTTCAAATATTGATCTAAAATTTTGCACATATACAGGACTTTACCCGGCTAACTTCCATAAAAAAAACTCAGAAGTTTTGAAAGTTTCAAAAAATGCATGTTGTATACACTGTCGATTGAAAACGTTTTCTATCTTAAAAGCTTCGTATCTCGAAGACATGCTGCTTCAAACTTTTGAATTTTTAAGGTAATCTAGTCTCGTCAAGTTTTCTATATGTACAACATTTCTAGAAACCTGAGATCCTCTCTATAGGCAAAAATCATTGAAATCGGAAGGGAAGATCTGAGGATATTCCCTTGAAAGTCAATGCATTGATCGACGACATCAACTAAAAGTTTTTGATGATTTCTTTTTTTTTAAATATTCTTGACTTTGAGAGGTTTTTCATTGGAAAATGAAAATAGAAAATTACTTGAGAAGAAGCTAGACGACCTATGTAAAAAAAAAAAATTTACGATTATAATCGATTTTGGTCTAATTAAAAAAGCGATTCACTTAGCACTATCTTAATCAAATTATTTAGCTTTTACTTGATGGTAATCATGATAACTACGAAATACGTTACCATCTTTGGTAAAATCTTAGATACAATCTCGATTTGATGCTCGCTTATGTAAGAAAAATCGCCGATGCAATAGATTAAAATCTCTTTTGGTTTTCTTCCTTTTCTTTGCAAATGAAAAAAAAATTTCCAAAATTGATCGATAATGATAAAACCTTTCAAGAATCGAGTACATGTTTTTTTATACCACATCTAGGTCTTCTGAGCCATGGTGGCATAGCCTATCAATTAATCCTTTTATTTAAGAGGATTATTTTTCGATGTTATTGAAGATAAAAGGATTACTAAAATAACATTAAAGATTGTTCAAATTGAATAGCTTGTTTTTCAATAACCCTAACAGACAATAATTGATAAGTAGCTTCAATAAAACAACAAGAAATAATGTTTAGACAACCAAACAATTCATACTATTCTTGAAAACTATCATAGAATCTTGCACTTAATAAGCCTGCCTTCAATTTCATGCTCTGTATAGGATTTTAAGCCGGGTAACAAGAAAATTCAATGTTACCTCTTACTTCACACATGATTTAGTAATCAATGCAATATAAAGAATAGATCAACTATTTCAATGATTTTACAATAGTATCATCATATTTTGATACTCCAAAGCCCACTTGACTGCTATTTTGAACATATCATATAAGATAAAAAAAAAACTTATGTTTATCTCAAAAGGATACTTACGTTTTTCTGTTAGTCGATGTTGAATGAAATCAATTTCATTTTGAATTGGTACATCATCAATACGTTTTATTTGATGTGCTGTTTTTGGATTAATCAATGTAAAAGCACGTTTTGGTTTAGATATTTCTGATGGCTTTTTTGTTGTTAATTCTTTATTTGAATCAATTGTTGTTACCGAAGAATCATTTGATAAAAAACGTCGTATAAATAATTGACTAATAAAACGTCTCGTTAATTTTAATGTCATCTGAATCGATTAGACATAAAAATCAAATAAATATCAAAAAAGATGGTTTATCATTATACCATAGGTGTTTACTCTATTCATTCCTTATTATCATATACACAACAAAACATATTACCAGATAAATAAAAAAAAAATGAAACAAGCAAAAGTGAAAACGAGAATACATATGTTAAGAACAGTTGGAATAATAGAAAAAAAAAGAGGAAAGTAGAATTGAGATTGATAAACAGACACCGGCTGCGTAAAAAGAAAGCATTTTTTTATTATTATTCATGAAGTGTTAATTTTTTTTCTAAAACGTATATTTTGAAATGATTTTAAAAATTTTGTTGATATGAGCTGTTTTCGTGTTTTTTCAAATGATGATAATGATTGACGATCATCAGGTGATGAATTTATTATTTGTGAATATCCATCAGATTGTTGTTGTTGTTGTTGTTGATCATCAGATATAGAATCATTATTAGAAATTTGACGATCAGGTATACCTTCAGATGATGGTTTTTTAGGTTTTGATATTGATGAGTTTTCAAATGATTCATAAGTATTTGGACGGTGAAAATTTGTTGAATTTCGATTTAAATCATTGAGACAATTAGATGATCTTGAATAAAGTATTGGTGAATTATTTGACTGATGTTCATTGGATGGACGATAATTTGTAATGAAACGATTTTTCAACGTTGTTGATGGAGAATTTGATTGTTCAAATCCAGTATCAGTTTGACTAATTGTATCTTGTTGAGAATTTGTTGATAATCCTCGACTATTGTAATTAAAAAAAAACAAATATTAATAATCATGGATAATAGATAATAAAATTTATGAATCAAATGTTTAAAACTAAAGATCAAATTGTCTTTAAGTATTAAAGTTTTTTTTTTTAACGACAGTAGATTGTCGATCAAGAAAAGAAAAACAACTGACGGTTTACTGTCAAATTCTTTTTGTCACTAGTAGCGATTATCGCCGGTAAAACGCATATTATATCGAATGTTTTATCAACGGTTTTGGTTTACTATGAATCACATAAAAATTTAAAACATGTATAATATATAATAAAACAACATGTTTTAGTGAAAGGCATGCGAGTACATTCATAACATTAATCAATTATAGTTCTTAGATACGTGGTGAAAAGAATGTTCTCAATGGGTACGAATACCTTAATATGTAATGTAACACATTTAGGTCTTCTATAGATTTTTGATAGTTTTATTAATAGACATGTATTGAGATTGATGTGTATAAAAAAACGGTTGATCAATCCTTTGAATAGATCAATAGTATTTGGGTTGTGTTTTTTTTTTTCTTAAAGTAGTCGAAATTCTAAAGAAAATGAGCAATAAAATTAATATGATTGACATTCTATACTTGATTCCAATGCTTGTTTTTTCTGTGAAAATTATGAGAAGAATGTCAAAGAACAAATATGACAAAAAAAAACGACTTGTTTTGTGTAAAATATTTTCTTTTTTATTGTACCTGTTTGCTTTACCAATTACTGTTGAATCATTGTTTGAATTAATTAAACCAGTTGATTCAAGTGATGTTGGTTTTGATCGATTAGTCGAATCTAATTATTATAGAAATAAAATATAAACTATTACATATAGTTTTTCTACTATTGAATATTAATTACCATTTGTTATAGTTGATGTACAAACTAAATCAGTACGATCGAGTAATGATGCAATTCTATTCCAACGTTGTTCACGTTCTTCATATTCATCATGAACTTCTGCTAATCGTTCTCTAAATAAAATAAAACTTTGTTAAAGCAAAAAAAAACGTATAACTTACTTAGCTGCATTGATTAATTCACTAATATTATCCATACAACCTGTATGAGCAATACGCACAGCACCGAAGAATCCTCTTTGCATTTTTGAAATTTTATTCATCTAATGAGATATTTAATATTTAATTTAAAAAAAAACATTAATGTATTGATAAATTTCTACCTGTTCTTTAGCTGTTAGCATTGCATTTTCAGCTGATTTGCGTTTTATTTCAAAAGATGCTTCTTCAATATGATAGGAACGTTTCAATAAATCAATTAATTCTGCTGGTGCTTCATAGGATTGATGACGAGCATGTTCTTCTGCTTTACGTAATGCAATACGTAACTATGTAATAAAATAATAAATTTGAATAGAAAAAATTTTCTTTATTTTTCTATAGAAACTACTTGTTCAATTTCTTGAATAGCTAAACGAAGTCGTTTATCATTATCAACTGTTGTATCACGACGTTTTCGATATTTATCAGCTTCTTCCTAAAAAGAGAAAAAAACAAAATTAATCAATTTAGACAATAAGTTAAATATGAAACTAATCAATATGTATTATTCAAAGTTGAATAATAGAAAAGTTCTTCTTCACTTTTTTATGGCAGCAACTTCAAAAACAATTTTTCGAGTAAATGATATTTACTTTAGTTCGTTGTACTTCAATAAACCAAGAATTTAATAATCCTCGATCAACTTTTGGTTTATCTTGTAATTCATTCTCCATAGCTTTCATTCTATGTAAATAGAAAAAGATTTTTCTGGATAAAGAATTTTCATTTCTTTTTTTTTTTGCATACTTTCCAGTTACAGCAATTAAATCTCCTCCAGCTTTTTGTAATGTTTCAAGTTCTTTTAATAAATTATTCATGCTTTCTTGAGTTTTACGATGTCGAATAAACGCATATAGACAAGCAGCAACGGATATTAACAATGCTGATATTAAAATTATATCTTTGATATAACTATGAGTTCCTGAATTTAATAGATTATGACCTTTAAATAAGAAAATGCCAAGATTCAATCACATACGTTGTGGTGGACCAAATAAAACAATATCTGTAGCTTTGATAATTAAACGTCTTTTATGTCTTGGATCACGTATTTGCATAATTGTTGAAATATATTGCTTTTCATTTGCTGCTAATCTAAAATTAAGCAAAAAAAAAAGAGATAAAATAAAGGTATTATATCGAACGAGAAGAAAATTAACCTTGGAATCATTCGACCATCAATTTGATTTCGACGAAAATATTCAACATATATTGATAAATGAACATGATTAACAAGCCAATGAATAACATCATCATTAGTCCAATTATAAACTTTAAACAATAAAGGAAATATATTTTTTTTTAGAAAAACTAAAAGTATCACAAACCTGGATTATTTTTCCATTGTGTCCATAAATCATCAAATGTTATTTGTAAATCAGCATTTTGAAAACGACGATGTCGTACTGAATCAGTTTTGGATTCTAATTCTTCATGAATAAACTAAAATATAATTTTATTTTTTAAATTAAATATTATTTAATAAAAACAAAAAAGATATTTTACGTCACGACTTTCAGATGCTTCAATCAATCCATCTTTATCATCATCCATTTGCTCATGTATTGATTTTATAGCTTGACGACCAAGTCGTTCTTTGTCAGCATCGGTACATAAATTAAATACACCAGTACAATCTATTAAAAATAGAATATTCAAGAAAGCAGAAAAAAAAAATACAAAAACATTAACCTGGATCAGGAATATTATAAGCAATATTATTATTATTATTATTTGATTGACTTAATTGGAATAAACTTAAGATTAGAATATGATAGAAAATGACTTGATCCATTTGACTACATGAATCTAAAATATATAAAAAGTGGACGTTGTGTTGTTTTTTTCTGTTTAACAGTACAACGATTAACATCATTGAGTTGATGATATATGTCTTTAGTCGATAAGAAAAGAATTACAGGTGAAATACTCTGAAATGTCAATGTATAAAAGGACAATCAAAAAATATAAGAATGAATAAGAAAAAAAAAATCCTATATTATTTTTTGCCTTTTATCGGTCTATGGACTCTTATAAAAGCGTTGAATAAATATCAATAGAACGAATAACTCAAAGAAAAATATTCATTTATATATTTATATATTCTTGAAGCGTCATAATAATCATAAATATGTCGAAATAATATATGATTTTCTATTGAATGAAACCAAAAAACAGAAAATAATAATAATAATAGTAATAGAAACGATTATGATCTCAATTAATATCTTGAAAGGGAAATATTCTAGAAAATTTGTTATTATAATGATTAATCTTATATATATATGTATATGCGCATATTTCTATAGATAGCAACACTGTTGTTGTTGTTATTGTTTTACTTTTTATTTTTGTGTTTCAGCTCATTTTTGATAGGAATGACGTGGGAGACCAAACAGAATAGAAAGAGGAAAACGAACAGATAGAATAGAAACTTGTTATTACCAGCTGATGCTGCCTATTGTCTTTCAAGCATAACTGACATTTTTAGAAACATATACAATATAATTTCTATCTTCTACGAATGTAATCGAACACCATACACACTTACTTCTTTAAATAAAAGAAAAAGAAGTAATGAATTCAAGCTATTGTAAACTATATATATATATATCTATTATGATGAATCAAATATATAAAAAAAGAAGTGATATTCGAATCTAAACAGTGTTATAACATAATGGTTAGATAAACATCTATTTTAAAAAAGAAGATGCTTTTGTTGTACCCTTTCTAATAGTAATGATTGATTGACTTTCTTATTATGTAAAACAAGAATGGTTAATGATTCATCGTATGTTATAAGTAGACGATGATGATCCAATGAAAAGTTTTGTTCGCTAAAATTTATCATTGGATGTTGATTAGAACCTCTGAGAACATTTTATTTGAGTATCTCTATTTACCTTTCAAATTCAAACAATTTCTTATTGTATATCTTTCAAATAGATTATCTAAAAAGACAAAAACATGTCACTATATGATGATGAATTACTAGAACCAAATAAAGATGGTACTACAAAAGGTAAGTTTCAAATAATCAAAAACAAAAAAGAAAGAAAAAGAAACATTTTTCTATTTGTTTATTTCCTTTTTTAATTAGTTGGAGCTTGGTCAGATTCAATTAAATTACTTCAAGGACCAATTCATGCAAAAAAATTTCATCAACAACAACAACTTAAAGTAAAATATTTTCTTTTACATAATTATTTGTTTATTGAAATTTTTTTAGAAAGATCTAACTAAAAATGTTGTTGGACCTGTAGCTGATCTACGTAAAAAACGAGCACCACCATTACCACGTCATCCAAATGCTGAAGTTACATTTAATAGTATTACTGGAAAGGTACGTAATTCTAATTTAACAAAAAAAAAGGAAAAAGAAAATTCGATAATTTTTTTAATATAATTAAAGATGGAATTACGTGATAATAATTCACAACAACAAGATTCTAGTGGACCATCACCTTCAGTAACAGCATTAATTCAAAATATAACTTCAAATATATCAGTATTTGGTTATACAGATGAATATGATCCATTAAAACCAAATGATTATGAAAAATTAAAAGAACAACGTAAACGTGAACAATATCAACGTGATCGTGATATTGAACGTCAACGACGTACTGAAGATGAACAACGAGGTTTATATGATGATGATTATGAAAATGATGATAATAACAATGATTATAATCGTGAATCAAGTGATCGACCAATACGAAAAGGAAATGTTTTTGCACCACCATCATCATTAATCGAAGAAGATAGAAGAGCTAGTAATAATAATCAAAATGAATCAGGTATATTTAATTAACAACAAAACTAAAATGAAAATTCTCTTTTTTCTTTTTCCGTTATAGATACGAAAGATGATTATTCATCAATACCTCCATCAAATTCAGATGAACGTATTGAAGATATGGAAACAGAAAGTGCAGGACCAAATCTTAGTTTTGGATCTGCTAAAGGGTATTTTATAGTTTGTTTATTAATCTTTTATTTAAGATAATAAAAATTTTAGAATAGATCTAGGATTAAAACGCGAAACAAAAAAAGTCATAGAATATTGAAATAGCACAGATAAATAAATCAACTATTGTACATTGATACAGTTTCGGGTGTGAGTGTTCGTTAGCGACCTGCATGAGAATTCAACTAGTTGTATTTTTCTTGAAAATCATTCTAAGTATCTTGAATACACAAAAATGATCGAAAACTGAATCAATTATAATTTTTTTATCTAATATATCTATTTATTCGTTCATAATACTCTCAAGCGAATCAGTCAGTGAGTACTCCAACCATTTTGCTAAGGCTAAATGTCGAGAGAAACTCCGTAAGAATAAAAAAATGAAATTCTGAAAGAAAGACTGTTTTAAACGCTATAGCCTCATCAAAGGTTGTCATAATGACAGCAATATTACAAAGTCTAATAAACTCGTTGTATCACCGAAATAATAATGATTTCATTATAATCACTGATCATCTTAACAGTTTATCTAAAAACGTTATGATTATATAATAGGAACATTATTTGAAGCTGATAAACTGATATTTCACAGTATTTTTGCTTGTTTTTCAATCAAATATTCCATTTGAATTTAGATGCTTGATTTCTTTTGTTTCTGAATAAGAAAATATTCAAAAGTCTACTTAAGTTTTTGATATTTTTGCTTTCAGTCGAAGTTGAGATACACCCATAATTCATCAACGTGCAATAAAAAATCCTAAAAGGATTTCGGCTTCGATTGAGATATGACTACGCTATCGAATTCTCAATATATCTATTTTCTATAGAGTCTCAGATTTGCTGAAAACTCATAATTTTAAACTTCTAACCGAAATTTTGCACATATAGAGCATTCGACTAGACTAACTTCCATGACAAAATTGACAAGTTTTAAACAAAGTTTCTTCTGAATATCAAACTTTCAAGATATAAACCTTTTTTCATTAATAGACTTTGTACAATATTTCAAATCCAAAATTCGATAGCTTGCTTAGTCAAATCTCAATAGGAACTTAAATGCTTTTACAATTTCTATTAGAACACTATGTAGTACTTACAGACAAAAAAAATAAATGAAATCAGACGAGGATAGTTGAAGAGAAGCTCATGTTAGTTAAATGTAGGAGAAGAAAAAAGAAAACTTAACGACTTGTAACATAAAACTTGAATGACTCCTAATCAAATATGATTAGTGATAGTACACAAATCTTAAATTGCATAATATCTCTGAACATGAAAGCTATTACGAATTAACAAGCAGAAAATCTCTCAGAGTTAAAATGATTTAACCTCACAAGTATCTGATGTTAACATAGGTGTAATCTTCTATTTGCTCGCATCCGCACCTACACCCAATTACACATAAAATTTCAATCGATTTGTTCGTTTACTATTTGCTAATCCACCAAACAAACCGGACATACTTTTCAGTTAATTTGAAGTAAACACAAATCATTGCAATAGAGTGTTACCGATGATGACATCAGTCGAAGAATGTCCTAAGGTCGTCAAGATTAGGAAAGCAGGCGTATGTTTTCAAGAATTAATGAACAACAGAAAGTTAAAAAATACTGGAACTCTGCTAGAGAAAAACAAAAATTTGACGAGATTGAACAGTGAGACATTCTTACATCAATCTTTATCAAAGAGCTTTGATAAAGAAGAATATAATAGTCACTGATAATTTCTTCTGACAACATGTGTCCTCTTGATCTGAAGTATCAACTTAAGAAATAATGATATATAATTTATTTTTAGTGCAGCTGCTGTTGCTAAAATGATGGCTAAAATGGGTTATCGAGAAGGTCAAGGTCTTGGTAAATCTCAACAAGGTATGAGTTCAGCATTAATTGTTGAAAAAACAAGTAAACGTGGTGGCAAAATTGTACATGAAAAAGAATTCCCAAATAAAGGTAAATAATTAATTAAATCCAAAATAGATTATATATATATTTCTTTTTAGATACAATTTTACTTCCACCACCACCACCTCCTCCTCCACCAACAATAGCATCTCCTTCCATTATTATTCCAAAAGGTGATTCCGGTATAAATATAGCTGATGAATTAAAAGGAGCAACGAAAGTTATTTTACTTAAAGTATGAATATATTTAAAAGAAAATTCACTGTATTTTATTATTTAATTTTCTTTTAAGAATATGGTTGGTCCTGGTGAAGTTGATGATTTACTTGATAGTAAAATTTTTTTTTCTAGTTTATTTCGAAGATATTTTAATTTTTTGTTTGATTTTTAAGGTGAAACAAAAGAAGAATGTCAAAAATATGGTGAAGTTGAAAAATGTCTTATATATGAAGTATGTATATGAAAAAATTTCATATGTATTTCTTATTAAATTTATTAATTTTAAAAGATTCCTGAAGCACCTGAAGATGAAGCTGTACGAATATTTGTTGAATTTAAACGAGTTGAATCAGCTATTAAAGGTAAGTTATCTAATATCTAGTTGAATGGGTTCTTTCGATTGAAATTCTTTGGTATTGGGTTCGAATCTTCATTGAGGAAAATCTTTGCTATGATGATTTAAATGATAGGTATGATATAAAAATTCATGATTCCATATCATAGAGCCAAAAAATAACTGTCTGAGCAAAGATATATTGATATTTATTATTTTAATGAATTTTAGCTGTTGTCGCTATGAATGGACGATATTTTGGTGGACGTGTTGTTAAAGCAAAATTTTACAATTTTGATAAATTTCGTCAATTTGATTTGGCTGATGATTCTTGATAGAAAACAATCTTATCTCATATGTTTTATGTCTTTTGTACAGTTTATGTGATGATGTTTACAAACAAACAGAAAAAAAAAAGAAATTGAGAAAACAAAAGTTTGAAGTTATTGTTTTCTTTGTCGTTTTCTTTTGTGCTTTCAGATTATGTCTGACGAAAATAAACAATCATTTAATCTTCAAGACGAATCAGATTTGAATGTCATTGATAATGAAGTATTTCACACAGATGAAGAAGATAATGTAAAAAATCATGATAATCAATAGATTAATGAATTACGTTTAGCACTTGAACGTGGATGTGATCTAGGATCAGTGCGAACTATTGGAAAATGTCGACCATTAACAGATGACTTACGTTTAGCAGTTTGGAAAGTAAGAGACAAAAAAACGATGATTGGTTTAATAAAAACAAAAAACTAGTGACGTTTTGTATCTTGATAAGATACTTCGCCAGACATTAACCTAAACATAAAACAAATGACTCAACATACAACAACTTATACAAGTGGAAGCAGAGTAAATTAAAAACAAGCAAACTAGACTATTTTCTTCTTTTTTAGCCATTGATAGTGATACGGAAAGGATTACTCCCTATCTAGCTGTCACTGTTGCCATCTTGTTTTTTCTTATCACTATCAATGGTTAAAAAAGAAGAAAATAGTCTAGTTTGCTTGTTCTTAATTTACTCTGCTTTCACTTGTATAAGTTGTTGTATGATTGTGTTAATGTCTGATGAAGTATCTCATCCAGATACGAAACGTCACTAGTTTTTTGCTTTTTGTTTTTATTAAACAAATTATTGTATTAAATTAAGTAAAAGAAGAGTATGTATCAATGTCAAATAACAAATCAACCTTCTTAACAAGACCAGAAAAAAAAAGACTTCTCACAGATTTTTGTATCGAATTTTTATCATATGAATGTACTGATAACTCAAGTGCTTTATATGTAAAACAAGTGTTTCACGTCGGGTTGAGTCGAGATCTGAAATGTTTCTGTTGACCGAGCTCAGATCTGATGAACTCTAACCATCTAGTAGATGTGTAGGATGCAGTAGTCACCGAATATAAAAAGCTAGAAACAAAGTATTTCGTGTCACCGAAGTCGTTGTCCTATTCCGATTAGAAAATTTCATTGAAAGTATCAAAGCACGCTTCGACTGCATCCGGAATTTAGCTAACTGGTAGAAGTCCAGGGTGTATGTTGGTAAATATAGGAAGACTTTCGCAAGCTGTTTCGATGTAACCTATAGAATTTTTTTAATTCATATGTAATTCACAGTCGACTGGACGAAAGTTTTTTCTCAATAAGAAATGTTTATTATATTTTGTTTATATTAGACTTGTCTTGATATTAATGATGTTAATGAATATGATTATATTGATAGTGATGTATTTGATTTACCTGAACAAAATCTAATACGTGAAGATGTTTTACGCTTAGTGCGTAGCAGAGATGTCCATCGCGGTTGAGAATCTACCGCTGCCGCACCGCCGTCGTTTCAAAAACTTGATTCGGGGTGTGGCTGTGGCTGTGGAGTGTGGGTGGGTGTTGTTCTTTTCATATTCATGCCCAATCCACACCCGCCCACATTCGCATCCACACCCCACACCCACACCATTTCAAATTATATTTATTTTATGCTTCTCTTTAATGATGTTTTGAGAACATTACGATATCTATTGGTGAAAAAATCACCCAATAGAATCATTATTGTCTCCCGGCTGAGTAATCGAGTTGGGCTAGCTTGCACGACGTCAGGAGTACAAGAAGAAAATTGTGGAAACGGCCGTCATACTTACAAAAAATGAACAATATTCCAACAAAAATCAATTCATCTATAACATTTGATTTCCCTTTTACAATAAGTTCATTATATTTTCAATAAAATCTATAAACAATTATCATTTATATGTCTTCATCAAATAATCGATCAATTTTGTTAACACTATAAAGTCTTATTAATAGTCGATACTCAACAATTATTAGTTGAAAAAGTTCTATATTCGAAACAAATATAATTTTATAGTTGGTGTTGTTGAACATGTTCTACTAGTTGTTATTCATATTGAAGTTGATCTTGAAATAATATCATATTTTGAACATTTCAATTCATTAATTGGTATAAAAAATGGTTCAGATTTTAATATTAGCGAAATAGAACTTATATGAACAAATACATATGTTGCATGAGATAGAAACAAAAAAAAGTTAATTTAATATTAAATTAACTGATTACTAACGGTTTACTAGAACTATGAAATATGGTAACAAAAATAAATTATTTTGACTGATAAGCTTGTTGTTATTTATTTTTCTTCTAGTGTATATAGTTTGTAAATTTAGCTATTGTACTAATTGTTTCAAATCAATAGAAATTCGTACCTTATTTAACATTAGATGATTCATATAAAATACATGCTAATGAATATTGCATTGCTGTTGCTAGTCTATTATATTAACATTATCAAATACAGTAACAACTCATGTTGTTTCAAATATAGATCAAACAAGTAGTCAATTAGGTTGATTTGGACATCATATAAATTATATTCAAACAAATTCTATGATAATAGGTGGTAACAGAGATAGTCTACTTGTTAATTTTGATAAACAAGTAATTAGTATTAAGGGTGTGGGTGTGGGTGTGTGAGTGTGGGTGGGTGTGGGTGTGGGTGTATCTGTGTAGTGAGGGTGTGTAGGTGTGGCTGTGGGGTGAGGGTGTGGCTGTGGGTGCGGGTGTGCGTGTGCGTGTGCGTGTGTGTGGCTGTGGATGAGGGACAATATTCTAACACTCACACCCACCCCAACCCACACCGACATCCACACCCACCCCACATCCAGAGTCAACCACATACACACCCCACACTATTTCCCAATTAATAGGGAATGATTTTTCATACTTAAAATTTATCTCGCTAGTGCAATATGAATGTAAGTACCAAATCCATTAGAGTGTTGGACGAGATTAATATTATAAACATTTAACTGAATATATGATTTGAACGAAAAATTCGTGATAAATAACCATCAAGTACTTTCTATATGAGAAGTGTACATGAGCAAGATATACCGGGTGACCCAAAAGTAAGGAAAAGCAGTATTTTTTTTGGAATTCTATCATATAGGTTGTCCGTTAGATCTCATATTTATACCACATATACTAGGTGACATAGGTAAAAGATGCAGCATATGATCGATATTTAGATATAGTAATTAGTCCAAGAGGATACAAATACAGCAAATATATAAAAACGACAACGCATATCAGACATGGAACCGGTACCAGTAACCGGCCGATCCGATCCGGTACCGGTCTGGACTTTGGATCGACCGGTCTACCAGTTTAAACCGGTCTGACCGGCGGTGTGTGTGTGGGTAGGTTGTCGGTGTTCGTCTTCTCTTCAGCGACACCTATACCCACACCCACACCCCACACTCACACCCACACCCACACCCACGCTCACACCGCACACTCACACCCACACCCACACCCACACCCTTCTTTTTCATTTATTGTGTCATTTAATTCTTTAACAGCAGAACTTGAGCAAATCGAAAAATAAACTTGAAGGCAATTAATTTTGTTGTTTTGTATCTAATTTTTTTCTGATTAGTTCTTTGAATTATAATTTACACCATAGGAAAAAAATTCTTCTAAAAATTTACTTTTTTTCATAAAAAGCAATAAATAACTTGACGATAACGTTCTTGAAGTAGGTCGTATCCTATAAACTCATAAGCTTATCTCAGTAAATCACAAAAATGAATAATTTTTGTTCGTTTACTTTTTAAGTCAAATTGATCATTAACAAAAAGAATATCTTTTAAATTTTGATCAATGTTTAAAAATACATCTTTATCTGCCAATATGTCAAGTAATTCACAAAAAACAAAGATTTGTAGTTTTATTATAATAAATATGCTGTAAAAAAGATACTCAAAATTGATTTTTTTACAAATATCTAATTTAAAAAATTCTTTTAGTTTCTCAGAAATCCAAAATTGGCTTTCCCAGTGATTTTCTTTTTCTTTTAGATTTTTTAAAGTCTTGTCGAGTCATATTTCTTTATACATCCATGTAATATTCAACTTGATCTATAAAACAAATATCTAAATTATATTCAATTATTTCAGATAAAAGATTAAAATAGAAATGATGATAAATTATTTATTCCAAACAAGTTTCATACCTAAAATAATTAAATATCGATTTTACAGTATTTTTTAACGTATTTTTGGCATAATTAACAAAATCATAGGTATTACTAGAAATTTATCTATTTTTCTGAATTCTGTTCCAGCTGTTCTCTTTTGATATTTAATACATAATATTTTACATTAATGGACGTACGACCATATTGCACATGTGCAACTTTCGTAATACTTTCTACTTGTTTTACATTTCTTTCATTTTTCTGAATTAGTCCTCTTTTGTCATAAAATCTTATGTTCTCAAGAATAATATTTCGAATTCTAATAGATCATAAATTTATTCCATCCTTAATCCAAAACCCATTCTTTTTAAAATAACTGATATATTCATTAGAATTTCCAGTTTTGACAATTACGACTGCATTTTCGGGAATTTCTGGTAAACTATTTTGTTGAATATCCAATATTAAATATAGATTGCAAATTGAATCTCAAAGATATTTTACTTCTTTTACAATATTCATCTTATCAGTTATTATTTGTTGTTCTTAACTAAATTGTTGGTATATGCAATATGATAGTAACTTTTAGCAACTATGTTTTTTATAGTTTAATGTTTGTCCTTTTCCTAAATGATCTCGAAACAAATGTCAAAGTTCATTTATTTCTCTTGATAATATTATAGCTTGTTGCTTTATTTCAGCAAGTCGTATTTCTTCTTGACTAACAAACTGATCATATTTTTCTAAAATTTATTCTTAAAACTTTATCATAATTTATTTTTCTTTTATATTTTCTCGTATTATTTATTACATATTTCAAAATCTTTCCTTTTTCTTGTCATAATTTCTTAATACTACGTCGGATATAATTATTGCAACTTAATAATAAATTAAAATATTGTACTGACGTTGCGAATTTCAAAATATATAAATATTTCACAAGCGAATATGAAGTATATTATATGAGTGATTCAGACCAATCGAATGTATCCCAAATTGTTGCCACTGTTAATAAAAAGAAACGGTATTTTCCTTCTTTCATCTGTGGAAAACATCGCTTCTGTTTTTGCTTTCGTTATTTATACAATTCTTTTATTAGCAAGACGTATTATTGTATATATTAAGAGAAAAAGATTAAATTAAGCGATAATAATAGATAATAATGACGAATCGTGAAAAAGAAAGAGACTTTAATTTATAAAAATCCAACTTAAATCTTGTTAATATTGAAAGTAAAGAAGTAGAAAAGAAATCTTCTCTTCAAGATATAAGATCTATTAAAGTATATCATTAAAATGATAATGAATATAGTAGTAGTGATGAAAATGATATTGTTGATATAGTATATCTGTCTGAAATTTCAATGATTAACAGGAAAGAAGATCAATTTTATTAACATCTTTTATCGATCAGTAACAAAATTTATTATGGTACAATTAACGAAAAATTACGTGAAGTGTTAATTACATCTAGTATTAATGACGAAGAAGAATCTTATTCTAGTGCATAGAAGGGTAATAAACTTGATGGATATGATTATAATTTTAAAAATCACGCTTCAATTCTTTTATCATTGTGAATTTAAGAACGGAATAACTTAAAGTAGGTTATGGAAAAGTATAATTATCAGATGAATATGAATATGAAGGTAAGATTGAAGATAGAAAATTCCATGATCTTGAAAGTGTTCTTAAACTTATAGCTGAGTGGAAAGAAGGAAAAAAACAGAATTGGTTTATATAAATGATATTGAACACTATTATAAAAAAATCAATATGAAGTTTATTTTATAAAAGCTTAGAATCTACAATTTTATTAAATAATAAAAATCAACAAAAATAAAAATAATATCTTCAAAATTTCATTGATTTATTTGAAAAACTTCTTTCAAACCTTAAGTTACTAAAAGAAATAGTTACTAAATCTATTCTACATCGAGAATTAATATCATCAGTTGATCTTTTATTTAAATTAGATCATAGTTATACAAATTCCAATAAGTAAACTAAAACATACAAAAAACAAAACTTCTAGTGATTGTATGTCATCGAAAATTATCTTTGATAATAGTTTAAATAATTTTTTTTAAACAAAATGTCAATTATCTAATTTAAAAAGAATACTTTATTTTAATCCATTTATAATTGATTTAATTGAAAAGGTAATACGTTTAAAAAATTAGAAGGAAATTAAAATAGTTCTATTCTAGTAAAACTTAATGGAGAATATGTTTTTCATAAAACATTAAATGATAATCAAATAGAATTCTAGAGAAAATTCATCCTAATGATATTATTGTATCATTTCATGCAAGGAAAAATTTAAACAGCTACATTAAAAGACTTTTTTTTCAAGACTTTGTATAGCATTAAAATCGATAAATTAAAAGAAAATATATGAAGACACCAATTTAAATTAAATGAAGATATTTTAGTCGATGAGAAAATTATTACAAATGATATTGAAGTTAAGAAATAGTTAAGCTATTTGAATATAATCTATTCGTCAAGATACTTTGATTAAAGAAATAAGAGATGACTTTTTTAGTTAAAATTTTACAAAATTCTAAAAATTAAATTCTTAACTTATTACAAACAAAAAATCTATCTCATTACGCTGTGAATATAAATATCGATGCTGAATAGTTAAATCGATCTTCTACTTATTTAAAATCAATAATAATTTATTGAAAGATAAAAAGTTCAATTATCAAAATAAAATGAAAGAGATTAAGAAAATTCAAATTCGAGTTAGAATTAATTGAAGAAAAACAAAGTATTACAAAAGTTATTGATTATTTTCTTAATTTTAATATAGAATTTTATAAATTATTAAAAATTTTTCAAAAACATTTTTACGTTTAGTATGCTTCAAAAATCATGTCTTTAATAACAGATATTCTTAAACAAGAGCACAGAGAAAGAAGCTATGCCTAATCAGTCTTATACACTTAAAAAAACATAAAGCGTCTAATTTAGAAGTTGTTTTGCAAAGAAGATTTTTTGAAGGACATAT